AAAGCCCATTTATATGTTGAACGCAATACAAATAGGCACAAATTATTTACATGCATATGAAATAGCGTGAGCGAGTGAGCGTATATGTGTGATCTAATTACCTAGCAGTCGAATCGACAAAAAGAGAAAATTCCAAAGAGCAAATCGAATTGACGAAAGCGATATGCATTGAATCGCCCCACACACGGAGTGAGACTGGATCGGCGCGCATTAGAAGCGAACAAGCGTGCAATCGTATATGAATCTTTTATAATATTTCGAAATCGGTAAATTTAGTTCGCATCTTGGTGCGGTTTGAGTGTGCTGATAAGATGTGCTTGAGCTGCGTGCAGCCGAACGAAAAAACGGAATGAAGCGAGAGAGAGAGAGAGAGAGAGAGAGAAGGAAAAGAAAATCAATTAAACGGATTGCTCTTTTATCGTGCATTGGACAACGATATCTTCGTTTCGCTTCTTCCCTCTTTCTCCAAAACATTGATTTGTTTTGTTATTTTCTTCTTCTTCTTGCATTTTTTTCAGCAAATACACCAGATACTGCTCGATTAACACATAAATAAATAAATACATGCGGCTTGCTCAAATCGCAAGCTATAAAAACAACGTTAAACACTGCTCACATCAATGACTGTTATCGGTTTCACGTGTGCGTGTTATTTTTTCTGCTTTGCGTCGCCTTGCTTTGTTCACTCAATCTTCGGATCGCATACGTATCAAATGCACCATCGGATCCAAGCCAAATAGATGGATAGAAAAAGAAAAGAAAAATTGTTTATCGAGAGAAATTTGGACTTGTTTCGATTTTCTTTTCCCTTCGATCGGTGCGCATCGTCATATCACATTGCAAAAGAAAGACAACAAACACCGATACGAAAGAAACAACATTAAAACTGAAACGATTTCAAATGGACTGACATGTTCACAAGCTGCTGCTGCAGCGTTGTTGCAGCGTTGTTGCTTTTGTTTGGCACATTTAGACCATACACACATCGACTTTTTCCGTTTTATTGATTTATAGCTACTTGTTTCGATGGGCAGCCAGTTCAGAATGCACTTCCATTCAAAATGTATTCTTATGTATACATTAAGTGTACACATGTTCCATAGTCTACACGTCTTCAATCGTCTGCCGATTCAATGCAACAAATTTATTAGGTGAATGAAATCGAATTTCGAAAAAAAATGAAAGAAAAACGCAACGAAAAAACAAAAAACACAGAAATATTGGGTACTGTTACAGTACTACTGTATGAGTAGCAATAGCATTTGAACGTATGCTTTGACCAACCGACAAATTCGTTTGAGCTACTTTGTCGAACAAAAAGAAATCGGCTTGCGATTCCGCACTGTTCTTCTATTGCTGCTGACTTGCGCATTTCGCAATTGAAATTCACTTGATTATTATTTATTGCTTTTAAAAGCAATCGACCAGGAAATGATGAATGATTCCAAAACCACTCGCTACTAATTATTTGTCGAATAATTGCTGAAGAACGTTTACACAAGCAACCGTTTCGTTGTTGCTGTTGGTTTGTTCGAATTATGCATCTTACAACGAAGAGCAACCAAAAACAACATTCCATATCGGAATAAAAAGAAACATCTCCCATAAAGATTACCGTTATTTCTTATCTCAACGATGTAACGTAAAAAAAAACGCATATTTACTGCGACACACAAAACAAAAAAATGCGAAAGCAAAGCATTATCACGTGAGTAAATCAATAGATGGGGAAGTGAAGAGTGAATGTCGGCGATTTTGGAGCGAATCTATGAAAACGAAATTTAGATACAAGGTGAAAAAACTCATAAATTAAACACCGTTTAAAATTGTTAAATAATCAACGAAAAACCAAATCAAATCACTTTTTCCCGAAAATCACAACTTGTTTCATTCGAAAATCGTTTTGATGGTTAACGAAGTGTGACCATAATTTTCACAAGCCGATCTTTTTTTTTTGCTTCATCATAACATAAGGCCTATAGACGCAAAATAACATAACAGATGTTCCGTTGCTCCAATAAGAGCAAGTGTTGATAAACACAAACAAGTTCATTTTTTTTCTTCTTCTCACCAACCCATCTGATTGTAAAAGTAAAGCGAGCGAAAATAACGTTGATGTCTTTTATCTTGTCACACAAACCCACAATCAAATGCTTGCCCAAGATTCAATCAGGTGAAACGTTATTAAAAACGAATAATTAGAAAGAAGCAGCATAAAAGAAGAAAAAAGTAACAACACAGACCGTGTTTATGGTTTTCTGTATCGTATACTCTATTCGTTGTGTCTGTTTTCGCATATTTCTCCCGTCGTAAAACAATAATGGGAGAGTTTTATAGTGAATGAGCCGCTGTTATCATGAACGTCGCTGTATTCCGTTTATGATGGCTGCATTTTTTTTGCTGCCGCCATACCTCTACCATATGATTGGTATAACTGTCGTATGGCAACAAAAGAATCGCAGTCAAAAGAAATGAATGAGCGAGGAAAAAAAGACACAAAAACAAAATAAAAACCTATAAAATGGAAAATGAATTTTTTTTTTTTTATAATCTAGTATGACATAAATTTCGAAACCTGTCAAAATGCGTTTCGCTGGCAGTAACAAAACAATTATGGGTGAAATTGAAACGATGCCTTGAATAAGCTCGATGAGACAGAAATGAGATGGTTCAGTAACGATGATGTGAGCAGAATGGATTAATTAAAAGCGGGAAATCCGAAGAAAATTGGTAACAATTGAAAAGCCAAAGTGAAACGGCAAAGAAATCAAAAAGCACGACATCACCGGTGGCACGCGCGCACGTTCGCCTCAAGGTCTTTCTCGCAATTTAGAATTTCGAATTTCATTTCCCTTTTGGAATTTCTATCGTTTCATTTTTGTTTCGAAGCTGAAAAAAAATGCAGCATTGAAATCAATTTGGGTGCACGCAGTGAAAATAAAATAAATTCTTCAGATTCGCCGAAACTAACGATGAATGCAAAATGTTTTGCCAAACAAAAGAGCACATTAATCGCTGCCAAGGTTTTCTATATTGTATTCACATGCCCAAGTCGAGAAGCGAATTTAATAAGTCAACAAGTTTCAACATTGTGTGTGTGTGTGTGTGTGCACTGTGTATGCAATCAAAGATGCGGTTGCGATGCAGCTTGCAAACATGAAAATTTTGCTAAATTCCGACTTTGTTTTTATTTTCAATGTGCACGGCGCATCTTTTGTGCGGTGCAATTCGTATAGCATCCAGCTAATTCGGTTCCATAGGGCGCCACACAAAAAGCAAATAATTTTCAATTATGAGCATGTATGCTGCCACAAAAGCATCACACGCATTTTTAATTTCGTATTTGAATGCAGTAAACGGGTTTTCTCTCCCTCTATCTCTTTCTCTCTCTCTCTCTCGTTCACGAGATTTCTCGATCTATCATTTGTAGCAAATTTTGAAACAATGTAGCATCAAGGTTTTTCTTTCTTCTTCCCAGGCAATAACAATTTTCGGCGTGCCTTACAGTCGGCACACTTGTTCGAAAACTTTTACTTATAAATACCCAGAGCAGCAATTAGTTTAATGAATTAAGCGCAATGCACATCACACAGCGTCAGCGTCTTATCAGTGCCGGAAAAAAATAGAAAACATTAGTGGAAAAACGGGAATCTCACGACGTTAGCCCGAAAATGTGTAGCAAATTGTAGAGACGTCGTTCCGCTCTCCCTCTCTCTCTCTCTCTCTCTCTCTCTGCTCTGTGCGCTTTGCTGTGTCAGAGAAAAACTCAAGTAATTTTTATAAAAGTCGAGGCGGGCGAAAAATATCTGATTCCAGTCGCATGTACGGGGCAAATATGTGGTTTTTCTTCTCTGCTTTACTCTCACCAGGCTTAATATTCAATTAGTAAATGGCGTTTTTCTCGATGGGCAGAATGGAAGCAAAAACGCTCAGAATTCATGTTGGAAATTCATTAAATTCGATTCGATTTTGAGCAGAAAATTTCGATACGGTGCTGCACTTCGGCCAATTTATGCTGTCTACAAATTGGGTAAATGTTTGTTTTTCGAAAATTGCGGCTAAAAAGCAACAATCATCAATCAAATTTATTGCGAACGCGCTTTACCACGCGTTAAAACGCACATACACACGCTTTTCCCAACCAACTAATTACAAGAACTATCGATGCAAACGGCTAATCGGCATTATTTTCAATTTTCAACAAAGCTCGCCATTCCACATACACACACAAACTCAAAGAAGAACGCATGAAAAAGCAACAATTGTGAATGAAACATTCCGAACAGCGGCAATGATTTTGTGATTTCGATACTATGCCGCTGTGCTGTTTGGCAAACATGTGAAGATAACATACACACTGCTGGCTATGATTCGCTGATTGTAGATCAACTTGTATCTCATTCAACGAATTTTCTCTTGAAAGAAAAAAAAACAAATCTCTCGACGTGCGAATTGTGATGATGGATGCACATCTCTCTCTCTTTCGCAATACACATTTTGATAGCATCGATATTGTGGTGTACTCAACGGTATCGTGTTTTGTTTGAAATGTTTCAACAATCCTGATCTTGGTTCAGTGGTGGTTTTCCAATACGAATATGGATCGAGCACGCTTTTGGCAAAACAAAGAAAAGTTATTCTTAATGAAGCCAATCAAACTGAAGCATATTTCCATTAGTTCAACAATGATTTAAATCAGCAAGCAAAAATGTTTGGTTTCAACAAACGTGATGATTGTTCGCAATGAAAATGTCTACCAACCATTTTCGGTGTGGTTCTTAAATGACCGGAATTCCAATTAAATTTTTTGTTTCTCATTTCGACACTTCACACAGCTCGCAAAATGGGATGGCGTGGAAAAGTGCATTTTTTCCACCAGGAATTGAATCAATTTCGAACTTTCATCCAAAACAAGGCTAAACAAAACCTCATTTGGGATATGAATAAGTTTCGTTTTTTTTTGTCTGTTGTTAAATGTTGTTGGAATATGAGAGTTTTACCTGTGTGTCGTCTTCGTTGACTGCATCAACAGCAACTCCGTTCGCCGCATGCAAGTGTTGTTGTGATAAAATCCAAATGAACACTGGCAAAAGTTTTATGAAATACCATTTGATCATGTTTTTGCCGGTCGCTTCTCTATTCCAAAACACACACACACACACACTTTGCGCACAGTTTTCTCGAATGAAATTCCTCGGTATTTTTCACTTTATTACTTCATTAGTACATTTTAGTTGTTTTCGTTAGTGGTGTTGTCGTTTTTTATTCTCTGTTTTGTCTTCTTCTTATTCTTTTGTGTCCGTTACGTTTAAAATTCTGTTACTTCGTAAACTCTCTCTGGACCGTGAGCTTTTAGTTTGGAAAATTTAATTATGATGACTTTTTTTTCGTATTTCGGCTGAAACTTTTATCAGTTTCATTGAGTCACTGAGTGTAACACAATAAAAGTTTTTGTTCACATAGTTCGACTGGCAGAATTGTCGCACCGGAGTCACACAATCAATCACAAAATAATAAAAATAATGATAAAAATTGCTATCAATTTTAATTAAAAACTTTCGAATACTTTTTTTTATAGCTTCAGCTATTTTCTTTTCCATACAAGCGAGCGAGTGAAACAAAAAAACTAAAACCGATTTGTAATATTTTATACAACGTTTGTAAAATTGAATTTCAGTTCACTTTTTTCCCTGTTATTGTAATGGTTGTCATGCGAATCTGCATAAAACTCCAGTTTATTATTCAGTTCGATTAAAGGGGAAAAAAACGATCACACAAAAAACTCCATCAATTTCATTTCCGGTAACACAAATGGATGCAAAAAATATGTTTTGCTTCACAATTTGCTCAAACTTTAAACGAATGAAAATCGGAATAAATACAATTTTTCAAAGCGTCATGGAAAACGATGCACCTTCAACAACGTCCAACAAACAAGTGATTCTTCGAAGGCAAAACTTGAAAATTCACAATCGCAAGTGCATGCTCCACACCTCCAACGAGCTCATGCTACCTTCAATGTTTAATCAACGTGTTTGCAGTGACACACGGCTCTCTATGCTGCGAACGAAAAGCATGAAACACACACTGGCAGCAGCCGTGGTTGTACACTGCAAAGCATGCCGCTAACTCTCTGTTTCTCGCTCGGTGTCTGTCTCTCTCGCTCTCTGTTTCTCACATTCAGTGTATTTGCTTCACAGCCGCCTAAAACGGAGAGCGCAACGCTTCACATACACACAACGGAACGACGGCGTGTTGTGCTTTCGAGTCGGTCGGTGAAAAATATTGTGTGCGCTTCGGCGACGAAAACGGGGAAAATAAATGAAAAGAAGGAAATCGAAACACAGAAAAATTATCGGTACACACGAGACGATGCATATATTTATGATGTGTTGTAGCAGCTTACAGTAGCCAATCGACCATTCGATAAATGGCATCTGCACGAATTGTCATTCGTACCGAGACCAAACATTTTGCATACATTTTTCATTTGCAACATAACGAGAAAGAAACCTCCCTCCCTTCCCATTTCAGCCCATTCAAACAATTGGCAAAAGAATCCGAACGCTACAAATATGAATCGGGCCAACGATAGAGCCAAGCTAAAACGGAAGGGAAAATATTGCATTATTTTATTTAGACATAAAACAGCAACGACAACAACAACGGGAAATATCTGCAATTTATCTGTGAGCTATGGATTCGGTGTATTTCATTCAAATGTCTCGAATGGAAATAGATCAAACCAGGAGTGGCTGTGTCATTGTCTGTCTGTGTGCTTGACTATGGCACGCTGAATAATGAATTGTGAGGACTCTTACTCGTCAGAGTAGAGGTAAAATGAATCGCAATCGTAACTGTCATTCTTCTCGGCACAATACAACACAGCACAGCACACCACACAAAAAACCGTTTCTTTGGCATTATTTTTTTTTCTCGCCCATCACAAATTTCAACCATGACGATTTTTTTTTCTGTTGTCCAACCAACGAACGGTAGAGCATTTTTCAGTGGTGCTTTTTCAGCGTTCGATGTTTTCAGCAGCATTTTTTTCTTCTGTTGAATGCTATGCTCAAGTGCTCTTTGACAGTAGTACTTGGGCAAACATTGGCCAGCCAGTTGAAGTTACAAAAAAAGCAAAGCTCTCAAGCCACTTCATCCCTTGGATTGTTATTGTTTGCCAAGATATTATGCACAGGACGAAGCATTTTTGACTCGAATGAGTATGGGTCACAACGATTATGTAAACAAATCGAATCACATAAATGAACGAAAAATGTCAGGACGTGGATGGAAACAAAAACTGTCACCCTGTGTCTGTTTTATTTTTTTTGGCTTTCTCTCTGTTTCTGCTCATTGTGATCGGGGTGAGCGGCAAGTCGAAAATGAAACTAGGCGAACAAATTTGCACGTGAAACGGTTCACCATACCCGCATACACACACACACAAACACGCTGCCAACCAAGCACGAATAGCGTGATTGGAAAACACTTAGGTTGACAGCTTGGATTTTCCGTTTGCTAGGCAAACGAGAAAATGTTATCTTGAGCATGCCACGAGCGAAACGCTGTCAATCCAAAAACTTTACATGGGATGCTTTTATTTTTATCATCAGCCCATGTACTAGCATCATTGTCGCCACCTCATTGTTGTATTTTGACTGTGTGTTTGCCATTCGTAATCCTAATCCAACTTTAATCCGTTTATCTCACTTTTTGTCGTTTTTGTTGTTGTTACCGTTGCTATGCTTTGAGCTGGAGCGCATATATACATGTGCAAGAGCACACTGAGAAACAGAGCGCTCTCGACAAATAAAGAGATCAGGTGTTTATTTTCTATGCAGCATTCGAATCCATTGTGTTTGGAAATGCATATATTTGGTTTTCTATCTGTGTAAATAAACAATAGTTTGTCGCCGGGATAGACACAATAGTCCTTAAATAGGCCACTCAATATCGTTCGGAATGCATTCAAATGCAAATATCAGCCGAACATTTTCGGATATTTTGAAATATTTATTATACACAGCAAACATTTTGACTCTGCGCCATTTGCAAATGTTTGTTTATGGAATTCGGAGCACATTAAAAAATATCGCTTATGAACTGTTGGTATGTGTGCATGTGTATCGGCAACACATGTGAAATCATTCCAATTAGATTATAAATGGCATAAATGCAATTTCTTGTTGTTTCGGGTCATCATGTGCGGCCAATAATAACATGCAATCACATCGAAATCTACCAACACCAAAGTGCAGTATATTCCATGGCCCGTGTCACTATGTGCTGTGACCACGGTGCGCTAGTGTGTGTGCGCGTTTTGATAATCAATTTTCCGTTTTCCGTTTCACTCTTTGATTTGATCATGTATTTTGTCGAATCGTACAAACCGTCTCTACACAAAATCACACCACAAATAACACGCTGTCATGCTGAAGTCCATGCCAATTCAATTGAAATGAATCCAAACGCCACTTGTCCAATACCCATCTCATTTTCCATTTAACAAATTGGTCAGAGTACATCGGTCAAACCTCTAACCATATGCAAGCTTATAATTTTCCGGTCGTGCCAAATTCATAAATTATAACATTGACAATATTGATTGCGAATCCAGTCGCATGCACTTCAAAATATTGTTCCAATCAAATCGTGATCATTTGTAGCTAACATTTGAGGTAAAATCTTATCATGTAATTAAAATTTCCCTTTGTTCCTCCGCCTCCATCATTAATTAAAGTTTTCCGAGGAAATGAATGATTCACATTTTATTACTTTGCCAACTCCAACAATTTTACTTGAGAATCAATAATGCAATTAAACGATGTCGTGTTTGAAACACGGTGTTTCTATCGTCATTGTTTCATTTTAATTTCCATTCACATCTTCGGCTTCAATGTATTGATTTTTCTTCCGTTGTTATATTCTCCACACAGTTTGGCTTGCTTACTTGTTAAAGACAATTGCTCTCAAATCAACAAACTCTTAGAACAACGCAACTCCGTCGCGGATAAACAATCCCCAAAACACTTGTCGTTTCCCATTTTCGGTGTCATTATTGTAGTTTGGCGCTATTGCTATTTTGCAAAAGTATTACGTTTTTCTTGGTGCACTGTGAAAATCGGTTTCTGGGATAGAATGAAGTGCGACAGCGAATAGAAGAAAAATGGAAATCATTAAAGTACTCTTTTTTCGGTGAGAGTTAAAGAGAGAGAGAGAGAGAGAGAGAGAGAGAGAGAGAGAGAGAGAGAGAGAAAGGGAGACAGAGAGTGAAAGAATTTGTGAAGTGGAGAATTAAAATTCCATATTGTAAAGTGGTTCTTTAAAAAAGTTTTTCATTCACTAATAACAGTTAATCGGTTAATCGCATTGGTTTTGGTCGTACAGCACAACTTTTAAGATCTCATTCATAATTCAGTAACTTTGTCGCCACTTAAGTACTCTTCTCACATTTACAATGCAATGTGTCTCTCAATTGTCGATTTTTCACCAAAAATAACCAAAGACACAGGTAAATTGAAGTGATGGTTTCTCGATAATAATAACCATATATGTGCTGGCATACAAGAGAAAACGCCATATTGTCACCGTCAACTCGACTGTAATTGACAGTTGGAAAAGTAAGCACTTGTACAACATCTCAATTAAATTGTGAATTTCCGTGGCATTGGCATATGTAGCAGCAAACGATAGTCAACGATGAATGGGCTTTTGTTCGTGCACTGCGCCATTCAATCGAAGAAAACAATGATGAAAAGTGGTTCAAGTGCATCGTTATAAAGTATGAGAGGAAAGTGTGCTATTATTATTTCATCTTCCGAGAGAATTAAGCAATGGCATTAAATAATTTAATGAATCGAAATGGCAACCGAATAATAACGTTCATGAGCAACAGCAAATGTTGAATCTACGCTCAAACATAATATGGACTGTTTTTTTGTATGACAAAACGAAACGTTATACATTTAGATGCACAGACATTTCGAGTATCCACTTGTGCTCAGAGAGTTTGCAAACATTATCCATGTAATTTTTTCTCTCTCTTTTTTGTCGGAAGGTGACCACATGCATGAAAACGTTAAAACAATTTCAACGCTCTAGACGGTTTTAATCGCTCACATTTTCAAGCGGTTTTCAGCTCGCATACGATGCAGATAAAACTATTTCAAAATTTTACGAATGCCTCACAAAATATTCAAGCTCACCGAGAGCAAAAACCAGAAGAGAAAGAGAGGGAGAGAGAGAGAGAGAGAGAGAGAGAGAGAGAGAGAAAAATTTGTGGTACATATTCGTTCAACTGTAAAAATGTGGTTCACTAGTTTTATTTTTACAGTGCTAGCCCGACCATTGCCACTGCTGTTGCCGTTGATACACTACAAAAACAATTGAATAGATTGTAGCATATTTTCATTTCACTGCGGCCAACCATTTCAACTAATTATGATCAATCATTGAACGCATGTGAACAATGTGCCATTTGCTTTAGTACATTTGCACTTCCGTAACGGAGTTCATCAGGCTTATTACACAACCGCAACTAAATTCAATGAATATATAAATGGAACAACAAAAAATATGTGTGGTTAATGTACTTTGTGACACAGCCACTAAAAAACTAATTGCATAATTTACAAACTTATGTGTTACGCATTCTATATTTGCCGAGCTGCCTGTGTGAACTGTGTATTTTTGTCGCATTTTCACGAAGAGATCTTCCCATCACCTGGACTGAAGTCTTGCAGCTTTACAACTATTGCGGGAAAATTTCCACTCATTTTTAGTTTGAAAAAAAAAGAAAAGTTTTTATGTAGTTTGATTACAGCCAAGTATGGTTTTTAGTGGAATATGACATCGCAGTGAAACATGAATTGCAAGGAGAACTTTCTTTAATAAGCAAAATATTAACTGAAGATCATCAATAAATTCCGAGAATAAAATAATTGGATTGCAAGTAGTTTTCGTTGCAAAGAAATCAAAATGTTCATCGTTTTGATTGCATGTGATACCTGTTCTGTTCTGATTCTACCAAATGAAAGTGGACAAAGTAATTTCAGTAAAAATGGAAGCGGAAATATGATAAATTTTTATGATTGCAGTGCCATTTCAATGGTGAATACAAAAGCAATGACAAAACTCGACAACTGAAGGAAAATCATGTTTCAAAATGGAAAACAGCGAGCATTCTAACAATTGAGAGAAATATCTTTTTAAAATTGAGATACAGTTGTAGTAGAAAATCCAGTAGAAAGTGGTTGTATCTATGTTTTATGACTTGAGTGATGCCCATTTTATGTACGAGTCCACGCATTTCATTCAATCATTTTTTTTTGTTTGTACGCGTTTGCTCCATTCATTTTGTGTGTATTTTGTCATCGCACAAAAGCAGTAGCGAGCATTGTGTGCTTGCATGCACCTTGTTCTCCCATGGTGGAGCAGATCTGTGTGGACATTTTCATTCTCACATTTTATATTTTCAGCAATGAATAACGCACATCATTTTAGTTGTTATTTTAGATCGGTATGCATGCCATCGTTTCACAGAAACAGCACTTAAAAAAATGTAAAATGTTACGAATGAAATATAAAACAGCGTTTTTGTTTTGTTGATGGAGAGAGAGAGAGAGAGAGAGAGAGAGAGCGCAAGCGAACGAGTGAAAAGAAGCGCAGGTTGTTGGAGCGAAAGCGAATAAAAAATCATTATTTCATTCGCATATGAAGGCCCCAGACATTCAAACAAAAAGAAGAGCTGGCAAATGTAAAATGCGAGATGGTGAACAAATTACGCTCGGCACAGACACAGACACACACACACACACACACATGCACATACTCACACACACACACACACACACACATCCAGCAAACAGAACAAATGAATTATGGCAACTGCATATTTTTCTGTTCTACTTTGCTCGCCATCTTCCTGCCACAATCGAGGGCTGTTTTTTTTTGCTCTTTTATAGTTTAGAACCTAAGGCGGTATGAACTCGTACTTGCACCTTGCCATTACACATTTCTTCTCTGTAATGGGGAAAATGTTTTTTTCTTTCTCTCGCGCGCGCGTTAAAAGGCTGGCAGCGAGAGTAGAGAGGGAGAAAGAACGAGGGAAAAGTGAATGAAAAAGTGGTAGTTTTATTTACGTAGTTCGTTTTGTTGCTGTCGTTTAAGTTCAGCGGCCAAACAAAAGGGATGAAAAATTGCATCGAAATGCGAAAGAATAATACTGTGTATGTAGAGAGAGAGAGAGAGAGAGAGAGGGTGAGAAAAAACGTGGATGCAAGCACAAAGGTCTTGAATACAAAGCAAGGTACTACTAGCAACACCATTAAGCTCACAAACAGCCAAAGCTCACAAAAAGAGAACGAAATCCGGATTGACACGGTGCTAGACTCGCGCGCTCACACACACACACACGAAAAAAATGAAGTGTTAGCAGGGAAAAAAGTAAATAATCTCACTGGCGAACAGCATTTTTACGATCTCGAAGCGATTAAGCGTTCCGCAAATGCGAGCAGAGAACAACTGCATCGGCTAAATAATGGCTTTGTGATATGATTTATAGAGCACAAACGCTCTTTGATGTTTTACTGTGAAATCAACGAAAAATGCAAACGATACACATACACCTTGTATCAGCAAGCACTCTCGAACCACTTTTTTCTTCTGCTCATACAATTAGCCGAAAAAGAACTAGAGCAAAAAAGCAACCACATTCTGATGATGGTAATCACAAGAAGACTTAATGGGCAAACACAAAATGGTAAGAAAAAAATTTAGTGCACAAATTTCGGATGTCAGTTATGTAAATAATGCACCGATTTTAAAGTGGAAACACGAAAACATCGGCAAATGCAATACCATTAATCATCGTGTAAGCGATCATTCGATTCAATTATCCTCGCTGCTCGAGCGTTATGCACGAAGTATAATGAAGCGAAGCTAATGCAAAAATAATCGCTTTAAACGAACAGAAGGTGTTCGATATAATTAAAATTATACAGATTAAAGCGTGGCAACTTTGTCTAATGGCCACACATATATATTTAACATGGGTATTGAACCTAATTTGACGACGACGATGATAATAATTTATCATTTATGCTCGATTTCGTGCTAATGTCGCAAGCGAAGTAAATATACGGTGGAAAAAGTAGCGTTTTGATTATCATAACTTAATTAGTAATAAAAATTCCCGGAACACGACGACGAAGAAGAATGGCAAAGACTCTTGCTTTTTTCTAGCTTGAATCAGTTCACCTGTTCAGCAGCACCAGTAGCACCAGCAACAGCACCCGTGGTAAGGTGAAGTGAGTGACATGAGGAAAGTGTGCAAAGATGTTGTTGGTGTAAATTTTGCTTACAATGGCAAGGTCAATAATCTCTGTTTGATTTACGACACACATGCATTGAATTGAATGCACTCGTTTTGCATACAATGAGTAGGCTTACGTTGCCATGATTTAATGTACTCCGGTTCAAAATGACAACGAGCCGAAAAGCCATAGTTGAGTTGCCTTGAATCGGTAAACTATCGTGTGTATTTTGCATTTATAATAATCCACAAATGAGCTTCGGCTCAAAACATAAATTCTCGATGACACACGACTGCATTTCAGAGCACAATGCAATCAATAAGTTTGAAGTGTTGATCCAAACAGATCGAGTATCAGAGCGATGTGTGTGTGTGTGTTTAGCTTCGATGTTGGTTACTTTCACTTTCTTGTGTTTTGCGCTTGTTTGTGCATTTACTGTAAAATTGCCGAAGACGACCATGCATGTATCGAATGTACAATGTACATATTGAAATACATTTCATCCAACCGAAGAAATGAATCCCAATTGCAATATGAATATTTATTATTTAATTCGAAATATGGAAATGGTGAATCGCATTAGCATCATCGTCATGCCAAACAAGCTTTAACCCAATGGAAAAACGTAATTCGCATCACAAAATCAGCGATATTAATTCCGTTTACAACCATTCATTCAAATTGTTTTTCATGCTGCACATTTGCAGCTGCGTTCTGCCGCAAGCGAACCGATTGAGCCCGCAAGAGCGCGCGCGTGTCGGTGTTCATTTTTTTTGTCCATCTATATAATCGTGGCAAAGTTGAACACGGTGATTTTTCCATTTAACAAATGGCATTGTGAAGCGTGTTTTCCTTTTGACAAGCGTTTCATTATTGATCCGAGTAATACAAACCGAATCATTTGGTTTGGTTTGCACAATGGATTCGACTTGAAATATTTACGATTCCATATGTAATTGATTTTGCGCCATTACATCGTTGAATTGATGTGATTAAAGTGTTGATATTTCCACTTTTTGCCTATTTGCATATCATTTGATACGGGTATTTAAGAGTTTTAAGAGTCTGAGAGAGAGAAAAACCCGGCGACTTTCACAAATGGCCAGACAGCATTTGTTTTTCTATTCATTTGTCATGTGATATTATCACGTTTCGATTTCTTTGGTTTTCAATATTTCAAATTCACAATTAAAAGTAACGAGATGTAATACAGTTCAATAATTTAACGCTTATTTTTACGTTTTTTTCCTCTATATTTTGTATTTTCAGCTGGGCCGTTTCGACAGTGATGACCCGTCAAAACCGGATCATGACCCAGCAAAATGCCATTCCGTCGGAAACGAATAATAACAACACCGAAGACACGGCGAAAGGTGAAAATGGAACCAACGATACTAAGGAAGAAAGTGTTGAAACGCCGGCGTTAATTCCACTCTGGGATCTGGCCAATCACGAAGATGGTGTTGTAACCACATCTTACAATATCACCGACGGCCAAATCGAAGGAGCTATTCAAAGCGATACCAAAAAAGACGAACAGATTTTCATTCACTACGGAAATCGAAGTAATGCCAATTTGCTCGTTCACAATGGGTAATGAACCAATTTATTTTTAAACCGCAAAGAAAAAGCATTTTTCATCAATTGTTATATGATCGAAGTTAATTTTTGGTTTCTAATTTTTTTTCTACTTATTTTCAATTTTCAGTTTTGTTGTTGAAAACAATCAATGGGATAGTGTGGTGATTCGTTTGGGACTGAGCCAATCTGATCCGTTAGTGAAGCAGCGTTCGCAATTGTTGGACAGCATTGGAATTACGAAAAATAGCGAAATCACAGTATTACCAGCACCAAAGTGTATATCACCCGAATTGCTAGCATTTGTACGTATTTTCAATATGAACGAAGAACAATTGAATCACTGGTTGGCTCCAGAAAAGGTGGCTGGCGATTTACTTTACCTGGACTGTGCACTCGACACAACGCTCGAAATTAAAACATGGAACTTTTTGAAGATGCGATTACAATTGCTGCTCAAAGCATTCCCAACCACTTTGGACGATGACGCCAATATGCTGGAACAGCATCAAAAGAAAGGACAACAAAAATTGGGCCACATCAAAATGATGATCATTCAGTATCGTATCATGGAAAAACGCATTTTACGCGACGCATTGACGTACATTGAAGAGCGTTCCAAGCCATAAAGCATCACAATTTCATTCTTTGAATACACAAATCTATCTCCAGCAATCACCTGAACCTTTTCACACACTTTTTTTTTAAATGGAATTGCAACACACCGAAATTCTAATCTTATTTTGACAAACAATTCCTTTTTTGTTTTCTTTTTTGTTTGAGTGGCTTTTTTTATTTATGAATAGATGCTAAAATTTATATCTAAACCTTTCCTCACTAATAATAAGAAGCAACATATTACCTTTTGCATCACTAAATCCACATATTAATTTTTGGATAAAATGAAAATTCAGCTTGAATTAACTCTACTAAATCAAAAGTATCTGTTGTTGTTTTGCAATAAAACGAAATTCAATTTTTTCTTTCAAACAGTTCTATGGAATCGAAATTACGTGATTTTGATCAATTGAAATCTATCTGAATAAATGTAATTTGTTCATGACATATACAATGTCTTTTAATGTAGAAAATTGAATCAAGATCGAACTGGAGATCGATTGAAAGAGGTAACCATCGAAGTAAGGTAAAATGTTGCAAACTTTGAGGAAATCAAAAGAGGTAAATACTCGATTCAAAATGGACTAAATAGATTAAAACAAGATGTTGTTGTTGTTGTTCTTCCTCAATATAATTGTAATTTTTATTTTTGTAACTCATCAAAATGTTTGTCATAAAGGAAAAAATGGGTTTCAATTAATGTCGGTCATTATATAATGATTTACATTTGTGGTCTTGTCAAAATTATCTGATTTTATTGTTGTGTCTTTTGCTTCATTTATTTGTTTACGCATTTTACGGGAGTAGATTCAATAAAATAATTCAACTTGTTTGAAGCGACTCAAATTGCGGTAGCCAAAATATGCGTAACGTTTATGAAGCGGTCCTTGTTCACGTTTATATTATTTTTCCTTTGATTATTACTTAAAGAAACGAAATTCATTTTCTGAATTCAAAATTGCTTATAAAGACTAAAAAAATCCAGTAGAAATCAGTTTGAAATGTAGAAAAAAGAAACCGAAGAGTCTCTCTTTCGAGATGATTTACATCCAAATGGTGGAAACGGTGACTTAAAATGAATGTTCTGTCCACTTGTTGAATTTATGTATCACTCTTCCACAGTTTGATTGTTTTGTCGTTTTCGAGGGCGGCCGATGCGATGATGTTCTCTGTCGGATGGCATGCCGTGCATAGTACAACGTCTGTATGGCCTTGTAAGCGCTGTACGACTTCTTTGCTCTGTAGATTCCAAATGTAAACCATATTATCTTCGCTGCCCGATACAATCCACTGAAATCACAAATGAAAATATGTAGGTTAGACAATCGAATGGTTGGAAAAGTGGAGAAGATCGTGTGGAATTGAGAAAAGGAGAGATAAAAACAAAAGTAGAAGACCATCTCACCTTTCCGCCGGTGACTGAGAAGTTGGCGAATATGCAATACTTTTCATTTTTGTGGTTGATGTACGTTTTTAAGCATTTGCCTTTAGAGTAGTCCCATAGTTTGAGTGTGTTGTCGAGTGTGGCGGCCAGAATATATTTGCCGTTCGGTGAGAATTTGACGAATGACACAGGCGGATTATCGTCGTCAATCAATGTTTTCAGACATTGACCCGAAGCGGTGTCCCAAATACGGCACAAACCATCATAGCTTGATGATACAATTAACGAACCGTCACGATTGAAATTGACCGCACTCACTGGATCCGAGTGTGCGGGCAGTGTTTTCAAACATTTACCAGTTCGAACATCCCAAATGCGTACACTCTCATCAAAACTGCCTGACACAATCAAATTGCTTTGTGGATTGAAATTACAGCAAAACACATAATTACTGTGGCCCTTGAGTGTTTTTAGACATTTTCCAGTGCTTAATTCCCAGAGTTTTAGTGTTTTATCGTCACTGGCACTAACCAACAAACGACTATCGCTCGACCAAGCCACATCGCTAATACCCAACTTGTGGCCGGCAATTGTTTTCTCAAATTTACCATCGTAGGCACCCCAGATTTTGATCAATTTATCAGCAGCTATCGAATGAACAAAATATACAGGGTAATTAGTTGGAATTGAATCATTTTGCAAAGCATTTGCTTGGTATACTCACATGAACTGGCGAGCCATTCACCGTTAGCACTGAATTTTACCGCTGATACTGCTTTTGTGTGACCGGCCAATGTGAATTTCAATGTGTAATTTGGTTTCTGTAATTCGAATTTGATTTGGTTAATCAATGCAAACCACTTTCAATGGCCAATTGGTTAAGAGCTCAACGAGCCCATTATCCATTATTTCAATATTGGTCACACTTTGTTGGTTACAATGATTTCTGACTCTTACCACTGATGATGCTGCTTTGTTTGACTGATTGGTAGACAATGTGTTCGGTCCGGATGGTGCGCTCGGCATCGATTGCATTCCATGTGGTCCATGAATGTTGTGTGGTGCACCTGGATGACCAATTGGCACCATTTTTGCGACTTTTTTTACGTAAATTCTCCGAACGAATTGAGCGCGTATGTTACTCTAACCTTACTTTTACCAATTATTCGCCAATTCAATTGAAACCCTTTTGACTATTCAGTTCCAATCAACTTATTCTGTACTAGTTACAAACGGCGAATTTAATTCAATAATTTGCCAAAAAATTATGCCGTTTTGTTCGTTTTCCACTGAGTAAAGAATTGTGAACGCGTGAATAAACGCAAAATGCACTCCTGTGTTTTGACACAAACGACGGAATATATTCAACATGAATGACGGCTTGCTTGCTACAATTTGCTACTCTCACACATCGGGCAGCACCAGTGTTACTCTACGCGAATGCTGTGACTTGTGACTGAAAACATGTTTGTTGTAGCAATTTAGTCATTTGAAATGAAAGAAATTAAAGAAAAAAAAATTGCTGAAATTTCCTTTTATTTTCTGCTCTGTTCGAAATTGAAAATCAAAAAGAATATTTTGAATCGCTCTTTAGACCTGTTAAACCTTCAACAAATGATGTGACTATTTGAAATATGTCATTAAACGCACGCACGCTCACAATCACTATTTGGATGTCATCTGTCATTGTTCAGAGGAGAAAAATAAAATAAAATCAAAGTTTCTTAGCAGTCCTCGGAACGAAACAATGTCAGCTTTAATAAAAAGTCTAAATATCGTCAATAGGATAAATAAAAATCCAGCAGCGGTTTACACGCTCGTACGAAATGCTGGCGGTAAGTATTATTCTTATACAATTGTTCTGCATTAAAGTCGATTCATTCGATGGAATCCAGTGTGAAAATTTTTGTTGGTTATTTACGTAATAGACATAACACAAACACAGTTTGCACACTTGATGACAGGGAATCGATGTAAATTGAACATTTTGGAAATTTTAATTGAACATCAATATTTTTTCGGCTACAATTTTTTTTCCAGGATGGAACAAAGATTTCAAGCCAGCTCCATATCCGGAAACGGAGGAAGAACGTCGAGCAGCTGCTAAAAAGTACGGTTTATTACCCGAAGAATATAAGCCGTATCCACCCGATTGTAAGCAATGATGCATTTTTGAGTCGATTTAATTGAATATTATTTACAAATGTATTTTCACTTTGAATACAGTGCCATACGGTGACTATCCGCATTTAGAAGACAAGCCCATTGAACAAAAAGATGTCTATTATCCATACGATCATCCCGAATACCGCAGAAACTTTCAAGAACCAGTATGATGATACTCATGATTGAGACAAAAAGAAAAACATTTAAACATTCCATCTAAACGGATTGTGTGCATTCTTTTAGGTTCATGCCGAAATTGATTTCTACGATGAAACACGCGCTGGTTTGCCAGGACCGCTCCGTGTGCCAATCTGGGAGATGTGGCTTTGGTTCCTTGGATGCATTGGTGGCACGTTGGCTTTGTATTGGTGGCTAGAAGACAAGAAAATGTTCCGACCAGCGATGCCCAAGCAACTCCCAAGAGATAGTGGCAAAAATTACGGCGGTAAACACTATACTTTCGAACCGGCCCGATAATCTGGGCAGGATTTACAGAAATTTTGCACCACGCTGGTTTAGAGATATAACCAACTGTTAACTGTCTTAAATTAAGTGGAATATTGAATAAAAAGAAAGCACATTGTAAAAAGTCAAACAGTGGTCAATTGGTCAGGCGATGCCGTTATTCGTTCGTTTATTATTCTTTCTACATGAATCTGAGATTCGAAATTTCAGGATTTGAAAAAAATAACGCGAACAATTGAATTAACTATATTGTTTTATGGATGAAACATATTCAGCCCAGCAAAACCCTATGTAAATCAAATCGAATTACATTTGGTTCAGTCGAAGAAATCCAGATTTATAAATGGGATAGCTTATTTTGGCCCGAGAAATATTCGCACTTATTCTAGTTCATCACAGATAATTTATCGATTTCAATTACCATTTCAACCTATTCAAAAACTAATTCCCTTAAGAACTTTCGAAGCAATATCAACACAATTTCGATATTCATTCATAGTGGACGAATATTCTTGTTCAATTCAAATCGAAACCAATTTGTATTTGACAGAGCAAGATGATTTGAGTAGTTTGTAAGTTGACCGTTAGAGTGCAAGTGTTGTCGACTAACGGTTCGATTGTGAATGTGTTTCAAAGGGATTTACGCACTCAAATTTGGCATATGAACCGCATCCTTTTACCCACACATATACAATTGCACGCACACATTGATGCATCGCCTTTTATCTTCGATATTGTTTTTGTATCGTTGTGCCATTTGAACACACCAAATGTGTATAATGTCAAATTGTTCCGCTCTGGAAATTTTCCAACTACAAGAAATGTAAATAATACACAAAAGACATACAAATGATGTGTATGCTTGAATTTTTCCCAGTGAAAATATGTCTTATGCGCATAATACGGGCAATTGCTTGAAAACGTATACAGACGAATCGGCCACTCATAATAACATCGAAAATTGAAAGGACACTGTGAGAAAACGAACAATCGTCGGAAAAGTACGAATTGAAATTCGGTTGAATCAAGTGTAAAATTTAATGTGAATTCAGTTTTTTTGTAAATGATCGTTTATAATGTGTGAAAATTGTGAAATATTAACAAACGAGAACGAATTGAATTTTTGATGCCTTAAAAACATGTGAACGCATCCAAATGACTGCAATTTTATGACGAAATGAAGTTTCAATGACATGAAATGAAGTGAATTGTGTGTATTTAATTGAGAAACAACGAGGAATAGGCGCGTTGGCTGTTTATTTAACGACGCGGGTGAGAGCACGAGAATAGCCAGTGTTGTGTTTCAGCAAGTCGTCAAATAAGAACATACAGTACATACATTGTCGCTGTACCGTATGCCATGCATTAAAAGTTGATTGAAGTGAGAACTGTAGAGAATCTACGTCAAAGCGAATACGAGATCATTATACTGGTAATTGTCTTGACAACGACGACGATATCATCATAAATGAAAAAAAAACCAAGAGCAATGAAACTTAAAGCGAATCCAATTGATTTAGTTTAAGCTGGCACGCTGTCCGAATGGTACTTTTGTGAAAACACGACTCAGACAGAGCAACAGTATTTGATAAAAGTTTGAGGCAACGTTTTCTTCTTCTTCTTTACTAAAACTAATGGAAAACACAACCAGATGTTAAGTTACCGAAAACAAACAGACTTTTCATTCAACACTCGACTTTAAATGTATTGGTTTGCATACAGTTATATCTATGTGTTTCATTGAAATGTGAATTCCCGAGCTGCTCCAGTGTGTTAGACAGAACGGATTTGCGATTTTGTCTCGATTCTATGTGGTGTAAATGCTTTACGAGCTTCAGTGCGGCGTAACAAGTTGTCAGCGTTCAGTTAGTGATTGAAAGTCGACCAATTCATAAGTGAATCAATGAAGTGTAACGAAATGCCCGTTAAATTTGCTATCGAGATTTTGAATTTGTCGAAAAATTTCGTTTCTTTCAAAATTCACATACGCGTCGTTGTACAACATTTTTCGGAACTTCGACTATTGCATTGCAATACGTAAAAATAGAATCGACGTGAAAGCGAATAGATCATTATACTGAGTAATATTTTTTTATAAGAAAGAAAAGGAAAAATATAACAAAAGGTGTCCAAAAAAAAAACGTCGGCCCATAATCCGAAAACATATGAATTACATTTTGTTTACGCACGCAAATAAGTATTAACGTTTTATTTTGTGTCAAACAATTGGATTGAGCTGTTCAAAGCCGTTTCGCAGACAACAAACAGACAGATAAACAAAAAAAGACAACAATCCTGTGTTGACAATACATTCATCAAAAATGTAAATGTTCATTTCGGCGGATTCTTATCTGTGACAATCATCGCGGTCAATTTGTTCTTCGGTTCATAAGCCCGTCAATTACAAGTGTAATTTACGTTCAGCTGATGAAACATATTGAACATGATTCGGAGTTAATCACCAAGAACCAAACCAAAAAAAAAGTTAGTTATTCAAAACAAACAGACCGTTTAATCGAAGCGTATCCACTTAATCGTCGCCCGATATTCGTCACAATAGCCACATTTTCGGACTTTTAGCAAATAGCACCGTCGTGAAAACTGAATAAAGACAACCTAGTGATACATTTTATTTATGTGCAGATTACAACGAAATATTCCGTTTGATTCCGTGATACGGTGGTGACGTGTGGAAAGCGAAGCAAAACCGAAGAAAGAGAAGAAAAAAAAACATTTAAGAAAAACAGAATCAGCAATTTGTTGGTTTGTGATTTTCAAACGATGACAGTGCATTGACTGCAACATTAAAAATAAAACGGAGAAAATAAGTGAGGCGCGACAACAAAGGAATCAAAATAAGTGTTAACGGAATAGGGAATATTCCCAAAGGAACAACGGATACATCACACCTCAAACAATTGAACCACACACGAACCAAGATTATTCAACATATGGAGTTTTACCGAGTGAACATGGCATCGACAACATATTTCGAAATTTTTGTGATATGCATGATACTGTTGCTACCATTTCTTTACGAAACCAGCCATGTATTTCGATACTACTTCAAATTCGGCGTATACTATTCCATGGTATCGATTAATTCAATCATACTTATACCGCCCATGCTGTTTCGTCCGTGTGATGTTAAAAATTTATTGTAAGTATGATTGGTGCATAACAAATGCATTTTCAATGTTTCTACACGTCAGTCGATTTCAGTGACAGATATACATGGAGTACGCGTTGTCATTTTTTGCCAATCAAACAGTAACTATCCTGCGAATGCCATGTTTGAGACTCTAAAACAGATTGGCAACCAAACGAGTGTGTATGCGAAAATCAACGCATAGTTTTAAAGCAGAAAAAAATGTGAATGTGATGCTACCGATTCGAAATCGGTGCAATCGAACGACGATAATGTTCGAAAATTGCAAACGACATGCATGCACTAAATGGAAAATGCCAAAACCAGATTCCCATGCGATTCCAAAATAAGTTTACTACATTTCGTTGGCAACGATTCGAAAAAGGAATGAGAAAAAAAACAGAACTTAGTTTCGATCCTTTGGTCGCTGGCTCAGTTTCCACGTCATATAATCCAGAAAGTTGTTGTTTTGTCGCGAGGAGCAAAAGAACAAGAGTAGAACGCAAATTGTGCAGTTTGATTTACTTTGGTCGCTGATATTTATGTCCGTGCTTTTTTTCATGTCAAAGATTTCATGCATATTCTAGAGCGACACCCCAACACGTACAAAACCGAATGATACCGCAGAAAAACCGCAGTAGAACCATTCCTTTTACAGCCCGTTTCTTTCTAATTTTATGTGTTTTGTTCGTTTTTTTTCCTTTGTTCCTTTTCGCAAACATGCAAATGAACCGATTCAAGTTTTAAACGTCATTACAATGAGCTAGGTTTGCACAATATCCACGGTAGAACACACAGGTTTTGACCTTCCATTGAAATTTATGGATTTTTACCTGCCGCGACATAATGCTAGACTTCTATATTTCAACGTATGCTCGCTGCGTCTTGTTCTACGTACACGTACATGCCCATTTATTTATTCATCATACAGAACAATTCTATTTGTTCGCTGACATTGTTAGTTGAACCTTTCGTCTTTTTCTGTGTCTGCAAAAAGAGATTTTTTTTTGGCATTGTTGATTTCCTACTGTCGTCTTCATCTAGAACACTCATTAGGATCATTATAATTTAGAACGAATTCTCGAGTTCTTCATACACACATGGTTTTCATGTACATGCCAACATGAATATGATTAAAGTGAATGAATTGCGATACGCAACCGCATTTCCAAGACATGATGATTCATTACGTTTTGTAACCCAAAACCAAACAAATCATCGCATAATGTCATACATTTTGTTAATTTATGACGACAAACCCGGATAATTGATGTGATACAAAGATCAAAGGTGGTTTTTGTCGTTTTACAAGTGTGATGCAGCCTGATGAAAACCGTACTTGGGGAGGCTTATGTGTTTTAATTTAAAAAAAAGAGCAATCCATCGACTGTTTTCATAATTTGATTGAATCAAACAGTCTAATTGTGTTTCGGAGCGAAATGCGTTTACTTTGAATCAGGGCCAAATTCATATTATATACAATGGGACCGTTTGTTTACATGTCGACAGTTTGTGCTGATTTGATCAACACTGCTCTCAAATTGACTACATTTCTTTTCCACGCATTCAATTTGAAGAAAAGAGAGAGAGAGCGAGAGGACGAGAGTTTCAATTGCGCTACAGCCTATACAATGTATAGCATACAGCGAATAATTGTCTCGTTCATTTTTTCACAATGTTCAAACTTCATCAAGCGATTTCGTGCTGTGTATGCATTCGAGCTCAAACATGGTGAACGGTATTTGAAGTTCAATGGAACATCAACACAAACATCGAATCGAATCCGTTTCTGTTGTGCGTGTACAATGTTTGCATACAAAATGAAGTCTATGGTATTACTTATGCGTCGAAGCTCAATTTTTTCGATTGCATCGAATTTCTTTTTTTCTTCGTTTCGTCGACAATAAATATGAATTTGTGACGGCTGACTTTATCACATTGCATACTAAAGTATTGACACCAACAAAGCATACTAAAATATTCTGGTTTCACACAAACCCATTCAAATGGTGCGATGGTTCAAAATGAACGCAACTTTCTTCGGCTCGATTCAATTTGAGGAGAGAAAAGGCGCACAAAAAAGAAGTTTGAAATGTTGAAAAAGCCTTTCATCATCAATTCAACAGCGATTGTGTCATACGTATTTATGTAAATCAAATGCTCCGTGTACATCTTGTGCCAAGAGAAATTGCTATCCACAGAAATATTTCATTATGCGCATTCTTCGTATAACTCGCAACAGCAAAATTGATTTCAGCGCAATGAAATATCTGGAGGAAAGAAATAGAAAGAAAGACATGAACCAGTTGATAACATTAAAAGTGAAATGATACCTACTGGTACCCTGTCTTATTCCATACAATTTGTCTGTTATTATGTACTTCAAGTGTGTTCATTCTACCTAGAGCGGAAGCAAAAATAGATTCAATGTGTTTGCACGCTCTCATTGATAACAAGCAACATTTCCCTGTGAGTTGATTACTTTCGCTTTTATTTTATTCATAATAAGCGTCAATTTTGAATTCGTCAAGCCTGTGTATGTGTACTGCACCTAGGTAATGAAAGTCTCGAAAATTGTGTTAATGAATTACCTAACATCGTTTGAACACAAGTGACTTTTCCAGGAAGAAAAACCTGATTTTGATTGCCACATAGAACACCGACAACCATTGCATTGAACACACGAACCGCTGTTTGAATTGTAATTTGATTCACTTCTTGTCTATTTAATTAGATAGAACGCATAGTAGGTGCAATATATTTTGGTTTGTTACTGCATTTACGTACTGACGTTATCTGGGCACAAATTACATTTTGTATTCACTTAGGCTATACCTATACAGCCGATTTGATTGAATTAATTGAAAATGAGTGTTTCATTAGCATCACAGTGGCTTGGTTGTATGCCATCCATTTTGAAAACTGTGCTTTCATCATTATCGTCTTTAAATTTAATAACAGTCGATATCAATGACGACGATTTTTCGAAAAATGAAAAATTGAATTTGAAAAATATTCCCCGTATCATGCACCTGCTACAGCAGTGGTATAGCTCTTGCAATTGAACCTTGTGTCACCTTTACTCAGGTTAGACTTATACATTATTAAATAAGTTTGATTTATGCCAGCCATTCGAATATGTCAAAAGTGTGTGTTCACTGTTCATTCAAGCACATAATCAACAGCGTCCGAACTGCAGATGCGACAATTGTTTAGTATTCACCCCTTACACCATACGATGTTCATAGCCATGTAACTATGGTACTGCGGGGAAACAAAACACTACCAATACTTTTTAAATTAGCGTAAACAGGTAATAAACGTCCATTATTACTGTAATTAATCCTGAAACGTTTCTAATCGTTTCTCGCATTCGGCCGGTCATTATACTGAAATAGCTGTGAAATACTGTGTTACAGGGCAAGTTACAGTCTGCAACGGAACAATTCCAATCAATAAAGGCTTTAATGTACTTGCGGAAAACAATAGTTTTATCGAAAGCAAACTGTGGAACAATCCAATAAATTCTCATTTATTGGTGGGATAATAAACATTTTTTCATGGCTAACATTCTTCTAAATAATTACAGTCCACTTGGTGAGGTGCATGACAACAGGTGCGCAATTGACGATATTATGATTTTATAATGAATCATCAACAGAAAAGCATGATTCATTCTCAAATCGATGGCAAACACATTCAATATGATTCAAGTTTGTATAAAAGCATTAGAAGAGAAGACATCAAACAATACAGTGAATCTGAAAACTTTGTAGTACAGAGATAGAGAGAATGGAAATATGTCTCAGTTTGTCCACTTGAAAAATAATTCTATTCGGAATTACACTTAATAAGTGGAACAGACAACAAAAAGTGACAGTCATGACCCAAGATTATCAACAACATTCAAAATGCGATTATGATTCTTTCGAAGTTCAACCGCAATTATGTTTTGCCATCATTCGTAAATAAATTCTTTACAATCGAGATCAAATCGCATTTTATGGCTTTTGCCTGATTAACAAGTCTTTTGAACTAGATGATATCAAATAAGCGACATGATTAGTGTGTATAGGCGCTTATGGAGAGTTGAATCCCCACTCATTTTTTCTTCTTTTAACACCTAATTAAAAACAATATGTTTTTTTCATGCATATTCGAGTATCTTTCGCATTTTTGGTCCTTCAAATATGTAATAAACAAAAATACAAATTTCCTTATCGATTTCGATATTATCCACCGATCGCTAATCAAAGTTCAATGATTCAGTGTCTGCGTGACCGTAGCTGCACATTGTTCGTGATCGCTTGTTGACTGCACTGAACACAAATATTCTATTTTGTTTTTCCGTTCACTTATTACTGAAATATGTAGGTATGTTAGATGGTATCAAAACATAGTGTGAAAATCGTGTGACATGAAATGTAACATGAACCATTAACTGGCCAAAGGCTCAATTGTCTATTTGTTGTATATTAAAAAAAATCAAATGGATTTCTTTTGCGCAGTGTTTAATCCCAACCCATATTTGAGTGACAAATGGCTTGGACATTTAAAAATGAGTAAAGGTGATAATGAATAGCAAGTAGAACGAAGGCATTATAAAATATAAGCGATAGGAAACCATGAAATGAATTATTCCGTCTCACCACGTATATCGTCAGAATCTAATCGATCTATCGTTATTTGGTGGAAAATCAAATGAAAATAGGGAATTTATCCGGCGTATTGCCGTGACTTGGATTTCTTAGACGGTAATCACCGTAAGCACTGCTATTATGGTATAAATAGGATTTTGGTTTTGGAATGACATTCAGCGCGAAAATATGGTTTTCGTGTGGATTACTGTAAGAACCGGTGCCACTTTAATCGATTAAAATCGTTTTGCGCGGCTAATGTTCATGTCAAAGACTAATAAAACCGCCAAAAACCAACAATCGATTCGAAAATCAAAAACCCATTTCCGAACACACAAAACGCCCATGAAATCGTAAATGTAATTTTGGCTGTGACGTTGACATTAAACGAAACCCATATAAATACAACAGAAATACCGTCTAATACTTTTGTTTGTTTGTTGATATTTTCATTTGCAGATTAGCTAGTTCGTTTTGCCATCACATATCAACTGTGTTGGGCCTGAAATGGGAGCTGCGCGGCAAAGTGCACTTGGAAAAGGAGCAAGCATGTATCATTGTGGCTAATCATCAAAGTTCATTGGACATTTTGGGTGAGTAATTGCATCGATATTCCATGAGGTCGCTTCGACATTTTTCGGTGATTTCATGCCATGATTTGATGTCTATATTTTCATTTCGTTCTATTTTTCACAGGAATGTTTGATATTTGGCCCGTTATGAATAAGTGCACAGTGGTGGCAAAGCGTGAGCTATTTTTTGCATGGCCCTTTGGATTGGCTGCTTGGCTGTGCGGTTTGATTTTCATCAATCGGATGCAGTCCGATTTGGCTCGTGATCATCTCAACAAAGCTTCAACCAACCTCAAGAATAAAAAGATCAAATTATGGATATTCCCAGAAGGGACACGTCGAAACACCGGCCAATTGCATCCATTCAAGAAGGGAGCATTCCATGTTGCTATCGACGCGCAAATACCAATTCTACCAGTCGTCTTCAGTTCGTATCAAACATTTTTGGACGATAAGAATAAGCATTTAAATAGCGGTCACATAATCATCACCACATTACCACCGATCCCAACCGCTGGATTAACTAAAATCGATTTGGATCAATTGATCCAAAAAACCTACGACACAATGAATAACGTGTATCAATTGACGTCGAAAGAGGTGGTCGAAGAGCTCGAATCTACCGAACGATCGTTGAAAAAGAAATCATCATTTGTGACCAGAGCAATGAATACGGCTTCAACGTTTGCCAGCAACATACGTAGTGACAGTATCAACAGTAGTCGACATTGTGTCATCGATGACGATACCAATGAGTTCAGTCATCAATATACAACAATTATACAGAAGCATAATCACAGAGTGACATCGCCACCAACGGCTAACTAGAATGAATTCCAGAAATCCGTCTATTTCTCTCCTATTGTTTAATTTGGTCAATATTTTTCAGTCAGTGACTGGCATTTTGGTATGGAAAGAAAACAAAAAAATGGGAACTACTAGGGAAATTTTGTATTATGTCGATATGTTTATATGTTTCGATATTTATTATATACCGAATTCGGTATTTCACCATTATGGAAAATGGTAAATGGAATGGGAACTGATTTCTCAGTCGATGGACTTTTTTTTACACGAATCGCTTTTTCTTAACTCATTTAGCTCTTCTTTCTTGAACTGAAACAATTTGCACTCACAGAAACCAAAGATACAATGAATATGCTTTTAGGGCAATATTTTGGTATATCGATAAATGTTCACACACACTCTCTAAATGAACTTGAAACATAATTGTAGCATATAACTGGATTAGAATGCTGGCCATATTCATTACACATTGAAACGTACTGTAGATATCAATGATATAGTATAAATACCTATTCATTGTCACATCCTCTCTTATCACTTCAGACAGAGTTTCAGCCATAGCACAAGTTCATGAAGAATGGAATTTGTTGGATAGACAAAGCGATCAACATTCACTTTATTACCAAATTCTTAGATTTTAAGTGACAACTAAGTTGTCACAACTTTTTTTATGTATGAATAATCAACTTCAGCTTAGTTTTTTCTTGTCTCTCTCCTATATGAGTAATTATGGGTTTTTTCCATTTTTTACATGAAACTTTATTAAATAAAAAAAAATAATGATAAAACACATACGGTTATAATCCATACAAATCAAAAATTATCAATGAATTTACCATTCAATCAACAAACACCAATTTGATGAGAGAAAACAAATATTTAGTATTTAAGTGTATACAAAGAAGAAATTTTCATTGGGATTATCTAAAAAAATTGACCTTTTCAACACCAATTCGCTTCATTCCAATATAAAATTCTGCAATTGACTTTTCGACCAAATACTTTCAGATCAAATGAATTCGTCTACTATTCTGTTCAATACCTTTCATTCTTTTTACTTCGTCAAAATACCAACCATTGTTAGAAACTTTGAACCATTGCAAAAGAATTCTTTTTCGCATTTAACACAATTCACATGGTTAGGTATATCAATGTCTGGACCTATCCCAATAAAATAATGATTGATGTTCATTATTTATCAATGAAAATACCGAAAAAAAAAGTTTACTACAGATTCGTAGGAAACATCAAACTATTGGCCAACTGTATTTACGTTGTTATGCATACCATTTAATTTTGTTTATTTGCACGAATTTAACGCAACCGAAAACTCTTTTATGAACTTTTTTTTAAAAAGAAAACAAAAAAGACTGCGTAAAGAATGGTTTATGTTGTAAAGGTATTCTTAGCAATAGAAATTATCGTTGCACATGCTGTCGTTTATCGTTGTATAACAGGCAAAATTCACCATGTAACAATTCGCTGTGGATATTTTGTAAGATAAAAGTATTTGCGCAAAGACAAGAGCTGTTGCTAAGTATACGCTTATCGCCGAAAAAAAAATCCGATAAAAATCCAAACACAGAAATGTTGTGTTCCATCAAATCAACAGCTTTTAGTGTAATTCGTTCAGCAAAAATTATGGCGAGGGATCTCATACGATAGACACGAATTATATTGAAGAAAAAAATGGAAAAACCAAAATTCAATGTAAAATATATTCTCTTCTAAATAAACATAATCACTGGTCGTTTCATTTAGTTGTTGGATGAATTAAACAGTGAAAGATTCAAACGGCTTATATGTGGTGCCAGCTGGTGGTGAAACATGCAATCGGGACGTCAAATTGACAGCGCATATTATTAGAGAGTAAGTAAATGACATTTGGTCCGTGAATGTGAAAAGCGAATCACTTGATTAGTTTTGTTTGATTTCGCGACACTTGCGAAACCGTACGTGAAAATTTCCCAAAACCACAAATAATGGGTGCCCGTAGCTCAAATCCACGTACGATACAAATTGAAAATGATTCGCCGGTCAGTGTGATTGATGTATCGGAGGCAGTTGTGGATCGTCTCAAGGGATTGCACAGCAAAGGTTTGCATGTATTTTCAATATATTAATAATAACCTCAAACTTGATTTATGATTTCGGAGAGTGTTTATGTAATCGATTTGACATAGCTCAACGAGATGACGTTGATCGGCCGATGATTCTATTTTGATAATTTAATGTGTGAAATTTTTCCCATTTTTTGCATACGCTAGATGTTGCACAACAAAAGGAGCATGACCGACGAGTGGCTGAAGCCGCTGTGGCCGCAGCACGGTTAGAATGGGAGAAACAAGTAGAACAACGATCTCCGAAACAATTAATAACACAAGCTGCTCCTGCACCGATTCAAACCATCATACACAGCGGTAGGCTCTCTCATTAAATGACTGATAAAATGCAATGAAATCGATGAAACTAAATCTATGTGTCGCTTGTTTTAGGTGGATCCACAATTTCAGCGTTGGAAGTTCGCCGTCAAAAAGAGGAAGAATTGCGTAAAAACGATCAGTACTGGCAGGCGCGTCTGAAGAAGCAAGAAGAAGATCTCAAGAAGACTGCAGCCATTTTGGAAAAGGAATACAATGAAACGGTAACTATTCGACTGATTTCCCCACATTCAAATGGACTTTGACCATCTTTTCAATTTGACCTTGTAGTTCAATCAAGTGCGTAGCCGCTTCGAGAATTCAGCACCACAATATCAGTTGCCTCCATGCAAAGATGTCAAAGCCAAACTAGTCGAATGCTACAAAGCAAATGGCAATCAAACGCTGAACTGTTCCAGCATTGTTGCCGATTTCGAAAATTGTGTGCAAAGCCATCGTACAAATCTGCTGAATGAGAAATATGCTGCAACAAAACAACCCATTGCCGCCGCATCATAATTCAGTTTTGTTTGTGTGATTTGAAGAAAAAAAATCCTTAAAAATTATGTTGAGCCTATTTCGCAAATGGATGTGCAAATGAATGTCCGGTATTCAATTGTGTTGTGCATGAAATTACGTTAAAATTGAATATCCGGATTGGATGGAATCATCCCAAAAAAAAAGGACACGAATTATTATCAAATCTAGTGTTTTTTTAGCGAAATTTGAACAACAGTAAAAACTCTTGACCTTTATTTAAAAAAATAAATACACTCTAGGAATACAACAAACCGAAATACGAATTGTGTTTATGCTTATTTTAAAAATCTATCGGCCACAATTCTTCGCATTTCTTGTATCGAACACGGTAATTTAATCATCGCCTTTTTTGTATTGCAAAACACGCTGTATGGTTTCGAATGAGGCTTTCAAGCAGTCAACGAACTCCACGGCATCTCTCTTTCCCTTGTAACTGGTGAAAATAATACCGAGCATCGTGTCTTGGACGCCGTAACCAATGCCATAGCCATCAGGAACAACTGGACCAAAGCTTCCAGCCAACAAACCATCGGACGACAAGCTCGATGTGGATAGAATATTATAATTCAATTTGCGATATGCATCTGACTCGAAAATCGGGTCCAACGGTATATTGTTCTGTTCAGCCATATATTTCAGTCCAAACAAATGACGATCGAAACCTTGACCCATAGCTGCTTCTTTGATTAATTGTCCATGCTTCGCCGAACATTTAAGCACCATTTCGCGCAGTTGATTTCGATCCCATACATCGGCTTTGCCTGAAATGGCATCGCAGAACTGCTTGGTTTCCATCGTACAGGGTCGAATTGTCTCTGTTCTTCCATGCCTAAAGGCAGCCGTTGAGCATGATTCGTAGGTACCAACATACTCGCCATGCTGTTGGAAATAGGCCAACTGAATACCGAGCTGCATCACCGCATCTGGGCTGACTTTATGATTCTTGCAAAAACCTTTTGTCATCACATCATTAATCATAGTGTGCATTTCAAGGGAATTTACGGTGTCCGTATAGTTCTTCTGTGCCTGCTTAATGGCTGCTTTTGATTTATCATCTAAATTGAATTCTGTTGATGCAAAATAAGAAAACATATCAATAGTATTGGGCAATTTTAAATGTAACAAAAACAAAGTTGAAGAATTGAGTACGATTCAATTCGGATCTCTTACCAATCTTGAAAATATCATCGCCAACGTCTTCGACTAAGCTATTGTGTACATCAGATGGCTGGCAAATTGGGTTGGTCGTTGTCTCTTTGTAAATCTCATTGAAATAACGCAACACAGCAACACCTGTTTTAAAAGAATTTAGATTGAAATTTCGAATGATGAAAATAAACAAAAAATGGTTGAAATGAAATAAAAGCCAAATGTGCAATGTGCATACCATCACCCCAAGAATGTTCAAAATTGATGCCGGCATTTCCATCTTTGCACACAATCAATGAGAAAGATTTGTCGAACCAACGATTAATCAAGCCATTTGAGTCACCATGGAGCATGTTCTGAACGATTGGAACTGGATCCTCCGGTGAATAATCGGCTTTATCATCCAACGATAACAAAAACAGGGCTGAATCCACTGTTTCCAAAGCGGCTTCATTGTGAGTTTTTTCCAAATGTTCACGAACATCAGCCCAAGTGTCACGATTTTCGGCAGTCATTACTCCTAACGGAAACTCGGCTGCAGTGCTCGATGCGGCATCATTCAAAATGAATTTCAATCGATTTGTTATTGTACGAGGTGATTCAATATTTCCTGGAAAACTCGAAATTTTATCATCAAGAATGAAATTTAAAAAAAAAATGAAGAAAAAAAAACACCAAATACCATCATTATCGAGCACATTAACAGCGTAAAAATGGCCGTTGCGCATGACACAAATGTGTGATGATTTTTCCGTTCGTTTGATTTCATCTTGGCCTCTCTTTGGGATACGCGTTGCACCAAACAGACCTTGATACTGTAACAACAAAAACCAATTTAAAATCGCTCAAAAGTTGGGTTAAAATATCGAGAGAGAAAAATATCACACCTGACTCATGTCCAATGGAAAAGCTTTGAAAGCCCATGACACGATAGTGGCAATGAATTCAGGCGTTCGGCTCAAGACTTTGCGATACCGTTCAGTGTCACTTTTCTTTGGGTTCATGTGATACACTTCGGGTTCCAGAACCTCTTCGCGTAACGAACGCATAAACCGTAATGAGGTTATCACCAAATTGGCAGTACGTGTCAAATGATCATTGTATTCGGGTCGTGTGTCCAGTTTCATGACCAACGCCGGATTATAATTGATACAAATTGGTTTTCGGTCACTCAAGTACATATCAAACCATGGTTTAGATATATAGCTCGTGTGTTTATTCTTTTTGTCATACTCTTGAAGTAGTCGCTGTAACTCTGGCCCGGTACCAACCGTACGAAATTGAGACACTAAATTCACAAAATTATCATAGCCGGCTTTATTTTGGCTGAGTGGATGAACAGCTGCTAAGAATCTGTCACAAGTTTTCTGCAATTCTGGTATTTTCAGACGTGGCAATGATCTTTGGAAATGTAACATTGGAATTTGACCTCTTTGTAAATACTGATAGTCATCGCTTTTGTATGCTTCCGTCGAAAAAGCGCGATATGCAGCGGCATTTTTGCCAAAATCCACTGTACGATTTAACAAAAGCACCGATTGTTTGTGACAAACTAACCGTTGAATCGTCATCTTCCACGAAATAAATTAATTTTGTTATTTTGGTTTAATTGTTTATCCAAATGTACGACTAATGACTGAATGTGAAATAGTTGTGCTGGTCTGTGTGAATATTGGTTGACAGCTTTGACAGTTCAAAAACTGATGTGAAATGACAGCACATGCGTTTGACATTTGACGAAGCTCATCGTTTCTCATTAGACAAAATGTGATTCTCATTGCAAGTGGTTTATGTTCTAAACAGGTGTGCCCTTTGGCCCTTCCCACATGACATTACATTGAATTCGGTCGAATTGAATGTACAATTTGAATAATAATGAGAATTCTGTCTGAATTTCGAATTGATTTTCATGCGGGTCAATTGAAAAAAACAGACAAAACATTCCGCATTGACAATAATCAGCTGCCAAACGACGTACAACTACATTCAAATCAAATGTACTGATAGGAGAGAGCGCGCGAGAGTGAACACACACGATGTTGGAGAGTCAAATGTTTCTATATTCTGGACAAGACCAAGAGAATGTTTGCTGTCATCTCCGATCACTGAGCTGATGTTAGTATGTGAATGAAAGTGCTACGAGAATGTCTTGCAAATCGTTTCGGTGTCTCAGGTTTGCAAATGAGTTTTTTTTTCTTCATGTCGTGAAATAGAGCAATATCAGTTCTTTCGTTCGTTGTTTTATTTTCCGTGTGCTTCGTTTGTGTGTTTTATCTCTCGTAAATTTTCATTTGGATTGTTTTGAAATGTCTAAAGTGAAATAATAAAACTCTTCATCATTTCCTAAAGGTTAAGAATGTTGTGAATGATGAGAAAAAAAAAACCAACGAACAAAAACTATTTTTCTGGAGCACTCTGCACTCCACAAGTTAATTGCTATTTTACTTGACATCGATTTTCGATGAACCATAAAATCAGTGCTCCTAATTGAAAGTCACACATTTTCATATCGCTAAGATTTATTACATTACACGTTTGTGTCTTTTGCTGTTGTTGTTTCCATCGAATTGTAATTGTGTTTGTTGTTGTCGCCTGCTCATCAATGTCGCACACAGGGCATATTTGTGTCTGATAAATTGGAAACGAACAATTTCCAGAAACATTTCTTTTTTTTGCATAATTTTCATGAAGTCTTGATGCTGTGGTGCCTTGGCACCAGCATCCACGTAACAAATCGCTCTCGTTCTTTCTCTCCCTTCCACTCGCTCGCTCGTTCACTCGTTCGCTTGTGTCGATTATTATTCTTATTATTCATTGCCATCGTCGTTGTGTTAGTGGTGCATGTATCTTTTTATGTGACATTCGTCTCAGAATGAAACAGCATACGAATGGAAACGAACGAAATCCAGCTACAACAACAACAACCGAACGACGAACAAATGAAACAAAAAAGTGTTCTGTGTATTTAAGTTACGTTCACTCCTTCTCACTCTCTTCGTTCGCTTGGATTTACCCAATAATTTTGTGCTTTATATGTTGGGAATCGCGCGCGCGGCCCATCTTATTCTGTTATGGTTTTGATATTCTATAATTCTGTTGCTGTTGCTCGCGCTTGAAATATAAAAGTGCTTTTATTATTTTTTGTTTCTTTTTTATTTCACATTTTCGTTCTGTTCTGGTGTGTGAGCTGTGCCGTGTGGTGAGTGAGCATGTATAGGTGTTTGTTTGAACACAAATTCGTTTGTGTTTCGCAACTGATAAGGTTGTTTGCTTGCTTGCTTGCTTACTTGCTCGCTTCGTTTCATTCATATGACGCAACGATGTTTTCAGTTTCGATTTTATTCTCTACGTTTTCGGTTGTTCATATGGCCGTTACCTCTATCATTCGGTCCGGTTCGTGCTTATCTACTTGTTTTATCCTTGTATTTACCTTAGAATTGTTCGCCCAATTCGCGTATTTAAACACTGGCATGAACAACCTGCATTAATCACTTGCGACACGAATTTTGTTTTTATTTTTTTCGATTTTAATTCTTTTTTCACGAAAATTATGCAAATAATTAAAATTAAAGAGGAGTAGGAGGAGGAGGAGGAGGAGGAGTGAATGTGCAATCATGTGCAGAGTAATTTGTGTGAGCTTGTGTTTACAGCATTCGAGTTAATGAGCTGTGCGTTGTGTGATCGAACGAAAACAATTAAATTCGACGAAGATCTAAAGTAAACAAAAAAAACAGCGACCTATCACAAGCGAGAGATGAAAAAAAAGCGAAGCTCAGTGTTTGTTCAATCGAAAATTATTATATAAATTATTCCGACAACAACTTATGGTGGCAGTGTCGGTGCGTCTGGATGTAAATTAGCTTTCTTGTGAATAATAATAATCTAGCAACGGTTGCCCACCGAATGAGTGAAAAAAAGATTCATTACTATGCGCTTGAATTTGATTTTTGTTGTTGTTCATTTGAGTTGTGTGTGTTGCTTTTTCATCTCGTCGTCGTCGTCGATCGTTGAAGTTTTTGATTTAAATGCTACACATGGATTTTCAGTAATCGACAACAAACGACGACGACGGCGGCGGCACAACAACAAAAACAATTGAAAAATTTAATTGGAATCGGCAATTAGCATGAATTCAAGTTATTTTAATGAAATCACATCGAAAAACCTATAGTTTGCTCAATTTACTCGCGTACACATAGCTAGAGCTCAAGTGAGAGATAGATCATGATTGAGTTAGCTCTAACTCTAGTCGGCGTTTGCTGTGTGTTATTTGTGAGAGAGAAAAAACAAATCTCTGTTTGCGGTTTCAAGTAGAGGTATTTGCGTGCGCTAAACGTCAATTTGTATTAGATGTTCAAGGGATATCCAATTTACATGCTTAAACCACTGTGTCAATAAGCTTAAAATTTCCATTTTTTTTCTGTGCTTGTACTTCTAACCGAAGTCTGGTAATCAATATGATTGGTTGTACAAATGAGGTTGCTTCAAATATGAATGCAATTTTTCGTTGAACTCTCAATACATTGGAACCACAGTCCCACAGGAGCCGAAGAAACGAAGACATCAATAAGTTGAAAATCTAAAACGGATACAAAAGCAAATTGCATCAATTAACAAGTTAAACGCTCTACATATATGTAGATTCGAGCTTCAATCAATGGACTAGGCGTAAAAATACCGACAAATTCATACATCACCATTCCAATCACTCGTACATATCAATTTGTAAAGCATTTCATTAAATGGTTGGCATATGTTTCGAAGAATTCATTGTGCACACACAATAATATGCTTATTTACCGAGCAGAATGTGTGCGGTACGTTAGCTCAAGCAGTCCCGTCGTTCCATTGCTCTATTTGCTGTCAATCCATTTTACCGGTTTGTTCTATGTATATATGTCTTTTGTCTGTTGACTATTCTGAGCCGTTAACCTATTTTCGTTCATCGTTTTCCTGAATCTTTAATGAGGCACGTTTCCATCATTGATAAGCGTTTATCAGTCGCTGCGTCGACTAACTTTGAATGATAATACTGAATACTTAATAAGGACTTGCTGTGCCCGAATTATCATTTTTGGCCAGAAATATAAATATTTGCCGAGTTGCCATTTTCTTTTCATTTTTCATCTTGAAACAAGAAAAAAGGTGTTCTAAAAGTACTCTCAAAACTCATGAAATATTTACAAGGCTGTGAAAAGGCTCACCGAAATATCTCCGAACACCAAAACGTATGATGAAAGAACTTTTTTTTTCCGCACATACACACACACATGAATGTCCATCCAATGTTTCATTGATTGTCTGCCGAGTATTCAACGAGTTATTTTTGTCGTATACGAGTCGAAAGTTTGTACTCGAAATACACATATATGCGGAACTTCCCGCCACACGAATTGTTTCGTTCATATTTTAGGCAAAGACATGGCACTTCTTTTGTCGAACACTTTTGTTCGATTTTTTGTAGCACGCAATGTGACTGGCGCTGAATACAAAATCAGAGTTTAAAAGGAGAGAAAAAAATGTAAAAAAAAACAAAAGAAACAACAAAGCGCTTCATTGTTATTTTAATTGTTGTTTATTTTTGTAAAAGGCTATCAAACGAGCTGTGTATTGAGTTACGATTACAGAATATGACTGAGGCATGTACACATACACACACGTGGAACCGGCGATTCTATTTTAATATACGAATGTTTTTTTCAATATGTGCAATCGGACCGACTTGAATCGGCGCGTATTCAACAAACCACAAGTGTGACCCGCAACCGAGTAAGAGATTCCAAGTAAAAAGATTGAATAATTTCACATTGTCCCACTTTGTCCACGACACGGTTCAATGTTATTCGCATGACGACAAAAAGAAACGAACTTTATACACACATTGTGATTCGTTCTTACAGCATCTGGATATAATACAGAAAACGGCACATCGCAAAAACAACACATGAGTAATTCTCTCACTCGAGTGACCATAAAAATGCGATGTACAGCCCTTTTGTCTGTTATTCATAATAATATTGTTCAAAAGACGACACGAGTCGCTTAGAACAAAAAAGAATATAGAACCTGAATTAATACATTTCGTCGTAACGAAGAAATAAAAGAACACATTATTTACAGCCAAGATGACATAGAAATTTTCGAGCGAATTAAATTCTGTGTGCGAAAGATAAAATCATAAAAAAAAATCTCAGTTTGATGTTGTATTATACATGAATATAAAATAGTATTCAAAATTCACATGCCACACGATAACATACGGTAACATTAGTGTTGGTAATAAAATAGCCCGTTTTCGTTGTCATGTTCATCGCAAATTATGCGATATATTAAGCCGGTTTTATTTTGTTTTGTGAACTCAGACAAAAAAAAACGCAAACAAATAAAACACATGTCTACAAATTTTGCGTATATTGATGTCAAATGATGAGCGACAGCGATGAGAAGAAGATCACACACACTCACACCAAACGAATCACAGAAACAACGAGAAAATAGGCAAAAAGTCAGGTGTCACATCGAAATTAATTGTATATCTTTAAGCTATTTAGTGAAGACCTATGAGTGCGTGGCAAGTGTATAAAAAACACACCGAAGCAATAATATACAAACACTTATCTATAAATGTGTAACAAAACGATTGCATATTAGGTGTACATAAGCGGTATAAATATAGAAAGAGAGAGAGAGAGAGAGAGAGAGAGAGAATAAAACGACACAAAAAATAGAAATCAATTGCTAAATTGAGCGTCCAAAACAAGCATTTATAGTGATTCAGAAGTGAGAGAGAAGAAAAATAACAAATCGTTATTAGCACGAAAATTGATTCAAATGTGTAGCTGAAAGCGGTCATTGAATTCGAATGTCAACATACAGTAATCGAATTTGACACGAATTCATCACTTTTTTCGATTCGTTCGTTCGCTCTAGTTAGACTAGTATGAACGATTCGAAAATGGATTCATCCAGTTTTTTGCATCTTGGCGATATTGTATCGCTATACGCAGAAGGCAGTGTTTGCGGCTTTCTCAGTACGCTGGGGTGAGTTTGTTTTTGATTTTTTTCTTCTCTTGTTGTTGATTCTTCGCAGTTGATGTTAGCAGCCAATGTTGGCTAATTTCACTAATTAGACCAATTAAACATTTATTATTTGAATTCTTTCAAATTTTTTCCACTTCTCTATCCATAGATTGGTTGACGATCGAACGGTTGTTTGCCCAGAGGCAGGCAATTTAAACAGTCCGCCAAAAAAGTTTCGTGATTGCTTGATTAAAATATGCCCGATGAATCGATATTCGGCCCAGAAACAATTCTGGAATGCGGCCAAACAAAATGCGCACAATACAAACGGTGGCGTTCTATCGGGTGGATCGAGCAGCGGCACGAATACGGACACAAGTCTACTGAAGCGTTTACATCATGCCGCCGAGATTGAGAAGAAACAAAACGAAAGCGAAAATAAAAAATTACTGGGCAACGTTGTACCGTACGGAAGCATTGTGCAATTGTTACATTTGAAATCAAATAAATATCTCACGGTGAACAAACGGTTGCCATCATTTTTGGAGAAAAATGCAATGCGCGTCTATTTAGATGCAAACGGAAATGAAGGCTCATGGTTTTACATATCACCCTTTTATAAATTGCGGTCAACCGGTGATAATGTGGTCATTGGTGACAAGGTCATCCTAAATCCAGTCCAAGCCGATCAACAAAATTTACACGTTGCCGCCAATTATGAGCTACCCGACAATCCTGGCTGCAAAGAAGTCAACGTACTTAATTCGTCAACATCGTGGAAAATTACACTGTTTTTGAAGCACATCGAAAATCAAGATGACATTCTGAAAGGCGGCGACGTTGTGCGTTTATTCCATGCCGAACAAGAGAAATTTCTTACAATGAATGCTTATAAGGTAAACAGTTTCGGTGTTTTTTCCCCTTCTCTCTCTGTGTGTGTTTGTGGTGGATTTATTGCGTTCAATTCGATTAATTATTCAGTTTATTCGTAAATATTTACTTCTGTAGAAACAACAGCACGTATTCCTTCGAACGACCGGTCGAACGAGTGCAACAGCCGCAACAAGTAGTAAAGCCTTATGGGAAATAGACATTGTTCAACATGATCCATGCCGAGGTGGTGCGGGCCATTGGAATTCATTGTATCGCTTCAAGCATTTGGCCACCGGATTTTATTTGGCTGCTGAACTGGATACATCGGCACCAGTGAATCCAAACGTAACCACTGCCGCTCCGTCTTCCGTCATTAACAGTGCTATGAACACACCACTCGCTCAAAGACTTGGACTTGAAATGGATACAAATATTCCACCACCAGGCCCACCAGTTACATATCGTTTAGTCCCTGTTCCCTATTCCAGTGATTTGGCATCCGTGTTTGAATTGGATTCAACCACTATGACACGCATAGACTCCTTAGTGCCACAATCGAGCTATGTACGTATGCGTCATTTATGTTCAAATACCTGGGTTCATGCCACCTCACAACCAATCGACGTGGATGAGGACAAACCAGTCATGTCAAAAGTTTGCTGCTCATTCATCAAGGAAGACAAAGAAGCGTTTGCATTGATCCCAGTTCCGCCATTTGAAGTGCGTGATTTGGACTTTGCCAATGATGCGTGCAAGGTAAGGTTTGGAGAAATGAATATAAGAATCTACGAAATTAATCATGAAATCGATTTTTAAAAATTTCCATTCTTCAAATTGGAAAAAAGTTTATTTTTGACGCTAATTAAGCCCAATCTGACTCAATCGAAGGTTCTCGAAGCAATGAATACCAAGCTGAAAAACGGTGCACTGTCACACAATGAACGACGATCACTAATAGCACTGCTCCAAGATATTGTTTACTTTATTGCCGGCTTAGAAAATGAACAAAGTAAAACGGAGGCCTTGGAATTGACAATCAATAACCCGAATCGAGATCGACAGAAGCTGCTGCGTGAACAAGAAATCCTCAAGCAGTTATTCGTGCTGTTGAAAGTGAGTAAATTTATTCAAAAATACTTCTCCAATTCAGTTGAAACGACTCTTCAACAAACGTCCATTAAAAAATCCTTTCATTTTGCAGGTGCCGTTTGAAACATTAGTGCCAAGTGAGGATGACAGCAATGAAATGGTTCCATTTTTAAAGCTCGATGAATTGAATGATCCGAAAAACGGTGTTTACAAATACATATTTCGGTTATGTTACCGTATATTGCGTCTGAGTCAACAGGACTATCGTAAAAATCAGGAATACATTGCCAAACATTTTGGTTTGATGCAAAAGCAAATCGGTTATGACATTTTAGCCGAAGACACCATCACCGCGTTGCTGCACAACAATCGCAAACTACTCGAAAAACATATCACAGCGGCTGAAATTGAAACATTCGTTGGTCTGGTGCGCAAAAATATGGCCAATTGGGACTCACGCTTTCTGGACTATTTATCGGATTTGTGTGTGTCAAACAAAAAAGCCATTGCCGTTACACAAGAGCTCATTTGCAAGAGTGTGTTGAGTGCCAAAAATTCGGACATTCTCATTGAAACGGAAATCGTCGAATGTGACCCGCCGCCATTGATTAATATCGAAGAAGATCCAGGGGAAAAAACGACAAATGAAAAAGAGCTCGAAAGCGATAGTAAATCAGAGGCAAAGCAAAACTTTCAAGTGCGACTGTTGTGGCACAATCGAACGGTATGCTTGAAATGAAATAGGATGTTGGAAAACAGCCAAAAATTTATTTGTGATTTATCGTTTTTTTTCCTTTTTAGCAAAGCAAATCGATGCTGGAGCTTTCGCTGAACGATGAGCATGGCATTCTGGATTATTACCGCCATCAATTGAACCTGTTCTCGAATATGTGCTTGAATCGACAATATCTCGCGCTCAACAATTTATCACAACATCTGGATATTGATCTGATTCTCAAGTATGAAAGTTCAAAATTGCATTCTGTTGCAGTTTTTTCTGATAAAAATTCTCTCATTTTTCTCAGATGCATGTCAGACGAAGCGGTGCCGCATGATTTGCGTGCATCATTCTGTCGATTGATGTTGCACTTGCATGTTGATCGTGATCCCCAAGAGCCAGTCACGCCCGTCAAGTATGCACGATTATGGTCGGAGATACCATCAAAAATGTCGATTGATGAGTGAGTCTATCATTTTCTTCTCTTCTTTTATTTGTTTCATCTGCTACAGCTGCATTCAATTCAATACTTGATTCATTGTGTTCAGTCAAAAACATGTTATTAACGATATTTGATTGGTTTTGCACATGCTAGTTACGATTCCAAGAAGCAACCGGACTCAAATAAGGAAGCCGTTCGAGCTCGATTCAATACGACAATCGCATTTGTCGAGAATTATTTGTGTAATGTGGCAATGAAAAAGTGGCTGTTTGCAAATCAAGATCAAAACAAGCTGACATTTGAAGTGGTAAAATTGGCACGAGACTTGGTGTATTTCGGATTCTACAGTTTCAGCGATTTATTGCGACTGACAAAAACATTGTTGAGCATATTGGATTGTGCCGATGCGAACGGCAGCATCGTTGGCGCAATGCCAACCGGAGACATTGGATGTAAGTATTCTCTCATTAAGTCTTTTCATTCTCATTGCATATGAGCAATTCTAAACTGAAATTGGGTTGTTTCTTCGAATGACAAATTCGAAAACAAAAATCAATCCATTTTACAAGATTTAAATTACATTTTATCAACGAACAAACAAAATGAGTCATTAACAACTATTCAAACACATTCATGCTTTCGCAAAACAAAACAAATATAAAAAAAGCCGCTACCGAAGAGGAATCTGATAGCGAAAATGATACTAATACTACTAATAAAGAGGAAGAGAGTAAGTTCACACTTTAGCTTGGTTGTGCCTTTTGCGAATGCCTCCCCCCACACACACAAACATTTTTAGTTTTTTTCTTGTTCTCGTTTTTTTTCGTTTTATTTTTGAGTAATGCATGCACCAGATGAGTGTAGTTGTCACTGGTTGATTGCACGTTGTTTACGAAAATGTTGATTTTACTCCGAATTATTTGCTTGAATCGAAATTAATTTATTTTTGTCTCTGAAAATAGCTGACGGTGGAGTGCTGCGTTCGATTGGCGATATGGTATGTGAATCAATACAAATTAAAACTTGCAATTGCGTATAACGATTTTGAATTGACAAAGTCGTTAATATTGAATCTTTTCTCTTCGCAGGGTACCGTGATGCTGGGTCCGATTGTAACGCCAGCTATTTCGGTGCAACAGCGCAAATCTGTTACACAGTTGATGAAAGAATACCCGCTGGTTATGGACACAAAGTTGAAAATCATTGAAATTTTGCAATTCATTTCGGATGTACGACTTGACTATCGAATCTCCTGTTTGTTGTCGATCTTCAAAAAGGAATTCGATGAGTGTGATCCACAGCAATCGAATGATGCCATCAATTTGCGTCAGAAGAACATTGATTTGGAATCGATTGGCATGCAAGCGGAGAAAATCTTTTGTGATGAAGAACCATCGCACCTCGACATTGTTGATTTGGATGGTCAGGGCGGTAGAACATTTCTTCGTGTTTTGCTGCATTTGATCATGCACGATTATCCACCGTTGGTGTCTGGCGCGCTTCATTTGCTGTTTCGTCATTTTAGCCAGCGGCAAGAGGTGCTGCATGCATTCCGTCAGGTTCAACTGCTTGTCAGCGACAGTGATGTTGAGTCATACAAACAAATTAAATCAGGTAATTGAAAACTAAGAATGATACTCATTCAATGAAAATTTGGCTACTAAAAATCTTCCCTTCAACAGATTTGGACGTTTTACGTCAATGCGTTGAGAAGTCGGAACTTTGGGTGTACAAATCGAAAGCATTGGAAGAAGGTCTACCAACTGTAACCGAAACGTTGGAATCAAAGACAAATGTGGGTGACGCCACCGCCGGAGAAAGTCCTTCAAAAAAGCCAAACGGTTCGGTATTGAAGAAAGAGGACTCAAGCTTTGGATTCTTCTTGGATGATGACGGTGTAATCGATCACAATCAAGAGTATAAAAAAGTCGAAAAAATTCTACACCGAATGAATAAATTGTGTGTCACCACCACCAGTGACGCGATTAAACCGCGCAAACACGAACAACGTTTGCTTCGCAATGTTGGCGTGCACACAATTGTACTTGATCTACTTCAAGTGCCATACGATGAAAAAGATACCCAAATGCACGAATTAATGCGTGTAGCTCACAAATTTTTGCAACATTTCTGCTTGGGCAATCAACAAAATCAAATTTTGTTGCACAAACAATTGGATATGTTTTTGAATCCAGGCATATTGGATGCTGAAACCGTTTGCAGCATATTCAAGGATAATTTGGCACTTTGTAATGAGGTGAACGAGAAAGTGGTTCAACATTTTGTGCATTCCATTGAAATTCACGGCCGACACGTTGAGTATTTGAAATTTTTGCAAACCATTGTCAAGGCGGAAAATCAATTCATTCGCAAGTGCCAGGATATGGTGATGCAAGAGGTGAGATCCACAATTTTTCCTTTGACCGATTTTTTTTTCAAACCATTTTTTGTTGTTTCGTTTAAAAAGTTAACATATAATCTTCTCATTTCTGCTTCCACCGTTACACAGTTGATAAATGCCGGCGAAGATGTGTTGGTGTTTTACAACGATAAATCATCATTTAATGCATTCATTGCGATGATGCAGCAAAAAGCGGCCGGAACGCTGAAAGATGATGGCCCCATCAAGTATCATGTTGAACTGGTGAAACTGTTGGCATGCTGTACGATGGGCAAAAATGTGTACACCGAAATCAAATGCAACAGTTTACTCACTTTGGAGGATATAATCGCAATGATTTCGCATCCAGACTGTTTGCCAGAAGTGAAAATTGCGTACGTTGACTTTTTGAGCCATTGTTATATCGATACCGAGGTGGAAATGAAGGAAATCTATTCATCGCATCACATGTGGAATTTATTCGAGAATTCCTTTTTGGCCGATATTAATCGCTTGATCCAGCAAGCCGTACCAATTGTCGTCACCACTGACAGCGATTCCAAGCAGACCACCGAAATTTCGACTCCAGCACCGCCGGCCGAAGACTCATGCAACCAAGCGCTTCAGAACTACGTCATTTACGAAGTAATGAATTGCCTGACGACATTTTTCAACAGCCCATTCTCCGACCAAAGCACCGTTTTGCCAACGCATCAAACCATTTTCATTCAAATCGTTCAGTCGGCATACCGATTGACGAAATGCAAATGGATAATGCCAGCGCAGAAATTCCACGTAGAAAATTGCATACGAACACTGACGGAGATCGCACAAAAACGTTCGATTGTTTTTCCAATTGAATTGGAGAATCAGTTGTTGATGATGTTCAATAAATCCGCTTTGTTAACGAGACAGACCAGCAAATGGTTGTTGGCCTCAAAGCAACCGAAGATTGAACGAGCTCCGTCGCAAGTGATGCGTCTTGATCGCAGCATCATCGAAGGACTGCAAGATATTCTGGAGCTGTTATACAATCAATTGAAGCCTTTGGTGGAAGCAGAATTGTCATTGTTAGTGGATATTCTGTACCGATCTGAACTGCTCTTCCCCGAAGGTTCGGAATCGCGGAAAATATGCGAAAACGGTGGATTCATTAGGCGTCTAATAAAACATGCCGAGAAATTGCTCGAAGAAAAAGAAGAGAAACTGTGTGTGAAAGTGCTGCGAACGCTACGCGAAATGATGGCAATGGACACGGAGTACGGTGAAAAGGGAGATAGTTTACGTAATACATTGCTGCGTCGCTACTTTGGTGATGCATTCTGCAATAAATCACATGCACACGGCAACACAACGGGAAACAATCATTTGAATGCGTTGGGCAAAAATATTGGCACCAAGCCAAAGGCAATTTTGCCAAGTATTGGATCGAAGCTCGGACCAAATGCATCGGCACTTTCAATAACACACGGTCCCGGCGCCAAGTATCTGCAGAGAGCTGAACGAACATTGCACGAAGTGCAGAGTCATTTGGATCAAGAGGGTGCGTCCAATTTAGTCGTTGAGCTAGTGATCAAATCGGTGAATTCACCATCAATTTTTGTGGAAGGTGTTGAACTGGGCATCGCATTGCTTGAAGGTGGAAATCCAATTATTCAACGCAGCATGTTCAATAAATTCCAAAATGCTGAGCTGAGCCAGTCGTTTTTCAAAGTATTTTACGATAAAATGAAAGACGCCCAACAGGAAATCAAATCAACGGTCACCGTAAACACATCGGACATTGCGACCAAAACAAACGAATCGAAACAAGATCCCAAGGATATTGATAAAATAGCGAAGAAACAAGCGAACAAACAATCAAATGGTATCGTCATAACGGACGAACTACGTGATGAATTGAATAATGCCGGTTTGGCAACGGCACAAGCCTATGCAGCCGCTCGAAATCTTATACCACCCGGCGGTAGTTGCAACGGAAACGATGACCAACTTACCGTTAACATGGGCAATGCTCTCGAAGAAATTCTGGCTGATAAGCTTGAGAAGCGGAAGGAAAAAGATGACAACAATAAATTGTCGACCAAAGTATTGGTTATGCAACCCGTACTTAGATTCCTTCAGCTTCTTTGCGAAAATCATAATCCAGACTTGCAGAATTGGTTGCGCCATCAAAATAATAAAACCAATTACAATTTAGTGTCGGAAACGCTGATGTTTTTGGATTGCATTTGTGGTTCGACTACGGGCGGGCTCGGTTTGCTTGGCCTGTACATAAATGAAAATAATGTGGCGTTGATCAATCAAACATTGGAAACGCTCACGGAATATTGCCAAGGACCGTGCCATGAGAATCAAAACTGCATCGCTATCCATGAATCAAATGGCTTGGACATAATAACGGCCTTAATTTTGAACGATATCAATCCACTTGGTAAAAATCGAATGGACTTGGTATTGGAGTTGAAAAATAATGCTTCGAAATTATTGCTTGCCATCATGGAGAGTCGCGGTGACAATGAGAACGCCGAACGAATTCTGTACAATATGAATCCAAAGCAATTGGTTGATGTCGCCTGCAGAGCATTCCATCAGGAGGAGATTTTGGGCGAACACGAACACATTGATGACATGTATAATTGCGACGATGATCAAGATGAGGGAGGTGTATCGCCACGTGAAGTCGGACACAATATCTACATTCTGTGCCATCAGTTGGCTCAACACAATAAAGATTTAGCCTCATTACTTAAACCATCCGATACGGTTGCATCGAATCTCACAAACGCACCCGGCTCCGCTGCCACAACAAATCCTTCCAGCGAAATTAGCAAAACAAACGTCGCACTAAACTACTATGCCACACACACAGCACAAATTGAAGTGAGTTTATTTTCTCGATTTCGAGATTTTAAGATTTGATCAAGAATTTGCTTCGAGCAAAGCCTTATTACTACTTCAAAGCAATGGAAATGATTGTAGGAATTTTATTTCAAAATTTAAAATAATTTTTTAAAATTAATTCCCAGATTGTTCGTAACGATCGGACTCTTGAGCAAATCGTCTTTCCAATCCCTGAGATTTGTGAGTACCTGACCACAGACACCAAAATTAAAATATTCCATACGGCCGAACGAGACGATCAAGGCTCAAAAGTGGCCGATTTCTTCGACAAAACCGATGAAATGTTTAATGAAATGAAATGGCAGAAGAAGCTGCGTGGCCAACCAGCACTGTTCATGGTTAGCAGCTATATGACATTATGGAGCAATATTCTGTTCAATTTGGTCGTCTTAATCAATACAATCATCGCATGCTTCTATCCATTTGAAAGCAACGCCCTAGGTAATTCTCAGTTATGATCAAATCAGATTAAATATTTTGAATGTAAACAAAACTAATCGGAAAAATTCAATTGTTTCAGAATTAAATTCCCATTTATCCGGATTGATATGGGCGGTGATGCTATTGTCGTTAGCGAGCATATTTACAGTGCCACGTTCAGCTGGGATTCGAACTTTTGTTGCATCAATCATATTACGGATGATATTTTCGATCGGGCCATCGCCAACGATATGGTTGCTTGGATTTATGACCGTCATTCTCAAAGGTATTCACATCGTGAGTTTGATGGGCAACCGTGGTACGCTTGAAAAACAGCTTCTTAAAATCGTCACCGATGCTCAATTGATCTACCATTTCGGGTACATGGTGTTTTGCATGACAGGAATGTTGGTTCATCCTTTCTTCTACTCGGTTTTGGTATGAACAAGGCGATGCATGAAATATTTTAATTTTTTCCCACTTGAGTTACTAATTTCAATTCCCTGTTTGCAGCTGTTCGATGTGGTTTACCGCGAGGAAACTCTATTGAATGTCATTCGTTCTGTAACTCGCAACGGTCGATCAATCATATTCACCGCAGTGTTGGCCCTGATTTTGGTTTATCTCTTCTCGATCATTGGATACATTTTCTTCAAAGACGACTTTTTGGTGCCAGTGGACGATGAATTGGTGACGATATCAGGCGATGATCTACTGTGCAATGATCCACCAGATGTGACACTGTCAAAAACCGTTAGCGATGCAGAGCAACAGGTGTGCTCAAAGGGTGCACTACAAGAAGCGGATGATGGAGGTGAACGGAAGGAGCGTGCCTGTGATTCATTGGTGATGTGCATTATTACAACTCTTAATCAAGGTCTACGGAATGGAGGAGGCATCGGCGATATTCTTCGAGCACCCAGTAGCTCTGTAAGTTGAATAATTATTTTCGAAAAAATTCTTATCTTATTCAAGATGTAAACAAAAAATATCTGAAAACCAAACCATTTTCACTTGCAGGAGGCATTATTTATGGCGCGTGTGATCTATGATTTGCTATTCTTCTTCATTGTAATTATTATTGTGTTGAACTTAATTTTCGGTGTGATCATCGATACGTTTGCCGATTTACGTAGTGAGAAGCAGCAAAAAGAGCTTATTCTAAAGAATACATGCTTCATATGCGGTTTGAATCGTTCAGCGTTCGATAATAAAACCGTTAGTTTTGAAGAGCACATAAAAAGTGAGCACAATATGTGGCACTATTTGTACTTCATTGTTTTGGTCAAAGTGAAAGATCCAACGGAATTCACCGGTCCCGAGAGTTATGTGTACGGAATGGTCAAGTCCAATACTCTGGACTGGTTCCCACGATTGCGTGCAATCTCTTTGGCCGCAGTCGAAGTGAGCGAAGAGCAAATCGAATTGCGTAGCTTACAAGCACAACTTGAAACCACCCAAATCATTGTGACACGATTGTCGGAACAACTGATGGAACTAAAAGATCATATGACTGCACAACGGATGAGCACAACTGCTGCCAAATCGGCTATGCTGTATTCATCGTCGCTTCACTTGAACATAGGAAAATAAAGATCTGCGATTTTCTCTCCCATTTGCATCAAATCAAATTGTATTATTTAAGCGAGAGAGAAAAGGAGAGTCGGAGTGGGAGTGGGAGAGAAAGTGAAATTCATACAATCTCTGTTGATAGAAACATTTTTTTTATTGAATTTTTCATAGTTAATTATTATCATAGGAGACATTTAATGAACCGTTCAATTGTTTAGCAAAAACAAAAATCTTTATCTAAAACGATCGATTTTACTTGTTGAATTTAGGATGTAGAGAAAGAGAGAGAGAAAGAGAGAGAAAAGTGTTATTCTTGGAGACATTCTATTGCAATTTCCAATGCAATTTCGTTTTACTTTTTCTTTAAAATTTTATATGTCCAGCATTGTTTTTCATTGTTAAAATTGTTATGCATTTTTCAGCACCTGAATAGAAAATTATACATATATCATGAATTTACAACAAGCAAATCTCAAATTTACTATTGAAAAGCCCACAATTTGATGGTGCTTGCCTCTTGTTCCAAATTATAACAATCAACGGTGATTTTGAATCATTTTATAGTTTTAGTCGAACAAATCAAATTGGAAACATTTACAGGAACTGCAAAATTCTGATTAGAGCACATTTAAAATTGAAGAAAAAAATAAAATAAAATATAAAAAATGAAACTCGGTATTTGTTATTGAATCTGCACTTTTTTTTCGTGATTGTTCAGTTGGTGGAATGCAAACAACACGGTATGGAATATTTGCATGAATTTACATGGCTTATGCATAAAAGATGAGTTGCACATAGATATAACATGATATGCGGCGGATTATACTTTTAATCCATCGATATTTTATTCGTGATTTTCCGTATCAATTGAAAGAAAAAAAAACAAATTTTATTTGTTAACAAATGTCAACACACGGCAGCTTCTGTATTTTTTGCATAATAACAACGGAAACTTGTTGAAAATGACCAACCATAAAAATAATACAATTATTCTGTATCATGTCACGAATGCAGATCAAAATAAAGCCCATAATTCATCTCGAATCAATAGCGTTAATAATTGAGCGTGATGCAAACATTTTTATAGATTCTTTTTTTTATTCAAATCATTTCTCTTCTAGATGCAATTGACGACTGTCACATAGACTTAAGTATTTCATGACAAGAAAAATATGCCCAAAATACGATTTGTGGACAGCCAATATTATTTAATCGGTGTGGAAACCGAGAAAAATCAGAAAACATTTCAAAAAAGGGCATTTGTTGGTAATTCTAATTATAATTAGAAGAGTTTTCATTTCCATTCTACTGGATTTTGTTATTTGAATATCAGTTATAACTGCAGATGTTAATGCAATCGATTCAAATTGTGACAGACAAGTCAACAGAGCGGCACAAACGTCATTGAACGTACACATCCAAATGTCAAATGTCAAATGGCCCAAAGCAGTATTTGTATTGAGAGCTCATTGTTTTCATGTTTATTCGTGTTTTTGCCGCTCGCTGAATTTCACAAAATTTTCTTCACAGGACGTTTTGGTTGGAACATTGGTTTCTACAACGATTTTTATTGGAAAAATTTTTACCGAAAGACAATCCGAACAATAAAAATGAGGTAAGCACTCTATTAACACTCTGGGTTTTATTTCAATTCCCTAATTAAATAATAAAAATCTGGAAATTGAAATATTTTTCACGTAGTCAGTGGACCGTTAACGATGGTATCGAAGATGTCGACGATGATTTGCTTTCTTCCCCTACGATTGGCGGTCGTGAAGGAACAATTTATCTGATTGACGTTGCAATTATGGAAAATGTTGAACAATTTCAACTGTGCCTGGATTGCATTGAAGCCGATCTCCTGAAGCGCATTCTGATAAACGCTCGAGATTTGGTTTCGGTCGTATTTTACAACACACAACACAGCCCACCACCAAGTGCAACACTTGGTGACGATGAAGATATGTCAACCGTTGTGCCATCAAACTGCGCAGTATTCATTCCGCTCAAACCGCTCAGCAAGGATTTGATACGGTACTTCAAGAGCTTCAGTGCATCCGATGACTTCTTCAACTTTGGCCAACAATACGGTTCATCAGGTGGAAGTTGCTTCAGCGAAGCACTTTGGCTTTGCTCGCGTTTGGTTATTCGTTGCAACTACCGCTTGATCAATGCGCAAATTGTTTTATTCACAAACAATGAAATCCCACACATGCCTGGCACGGAAGAATACAATCTGGCATTTGTTCGTGCAGATGATTTGAAGGAGAACAACATCTTGGTTGATTTGGTGCCTTTGGTCGACGGTGACTTTGATTTTGAACCATTCTTCAAAGAATTTCTGTGTATCGTTGACGATATGGAACAGGAACAGTTTGAATATGACCAACCGATGGATCAACAATTCAAATATTTGAACCGCATAAATTCTGCCAACTATCGAAAGTCTTGTTTGCGTCACATGATTTTTGAGCTCTCTGAAGACTTATCGTTGTCATGTGATGTATACAGTTTGACACGCAACGCAAAGAAGCCAAACGCGGTTAAAATGTTCGGCGAAAACAAGCAAGTAGTCGTTGGCAAACGGTCCCATTATGCTAACGTACGCAGTCAAGACAACCAAGAAGATGATGAAGTGAACGTTACACACAAGGTGCTCACCAGTCAACTATACAAAAGCCAGCAGATATGTGGAAAGGAAATCTTGTTCAGCCCAGAGGAATTAATCGCAATGAAAACGATCCAGAACACAGGTCTACGCCTGCTCGGTTTCAAACCGATCGAACATCTTCAACCACGTTGGATGATCAAGCACTGCTTGTTCATGTACCCGAACGATAAACGAATCAATGGCTCAACAACATTGTTACGCACACTCTGGCAAACATGTTTGGACAAAGGAAAATACGCTCTGTGTGCCTTAACAATGCGACGTTTCACCCCCCCAAAGTACAATCACTTTTTTCCTTGTCTATCTATCGAACATAATTTAATGAAGCTAAATTTTCTTACAGATTTGTTGCTTTGGTGCCACAAACCGCTGACAAAAGTGGAAATGATGGCTTTCGTATAGTTTTCATGCCGGTCGAGAGTGAGTATAAAATGTTTAATGAAACTTCATCATGGAAACACAAAAATAAATTGTGTGCATCATGCACGGTTGACGGTTGTTGTCTACGGTGAGATAGCTTACTTCCATAGCTGATGGAAGCCTCTTCCTTTTGTTGCCTTTTGGAAGTTGAGCTAAAATCGCTCTGGGCCACTATTGATGAATAATTTTGAGGCATCTGCTGAATCACACAATTGTCTTCATGATCATGTCTTGGTCGATAAAATTCCTATATTATCTGAACTTGCGAAACGCCGCACTCAGCCATGGAAGTACTGACATCACACCATGCCAACCAGTGTCAATATTTGTTATTTAATTAAATTGAACAATTCAATTCATTTCTTTTCCAAAATTTATTTCTATTCCAGCAAATATTGGGGCACTTGATGCAATTGTGAAGCCAATGCCTGCACCAACTCCTGAACAAGTGGATCTGTTTGAAAAGTTGTGCAAAAAATTGCGATTCAAGAACGGATATGACGTCCAGTTATTTTGCAACCCTTCTCTTCAGTCATTCAATACCAATCTTGAATCAACAGTTTACGATGAAGAAGCGAAATATGTCGAAGACTTGACATTGCCCAAACTGCAGCATCAAGATGACAAAGTGGCACCATTTCTTGATCAGATTGAACTAGAATTTGGATCGGTGAGTTGAAAATATGCATTATGCATCCTCTCTCATTCATTGAGATAAATCTTCATTGTATTCCATAGGAGGATGTTGGACCACGACCAAAAGCCGCAAAGAAAGACATCTCATCGAATGATTTTGAGGCAGCCATTCGAAATGGACAGGTAAGATATTCGTTAAGTTCTGTTTTCAACCCAGTACATATATTATTTTCATCTTTAATTTAGATGAATGCTGTCACTGTGGATCAGCTCAAAGATTTCATTCGCAGCCGAAAAGGAAACCTACCGCCAAGAGCTGTCAAGAAAGACTTGTTCGAACAGGCTACAAAGCTGATCAATTGAACGAAAAACAAACTGATGGATACTGATTTATCGCAGATGAAACAAAAGACTTTAAATAAGATTCAATTAAACACAATTTGTTCTTCTTTTTTTGAAATAATACTCAATAGAGCAGTTTCGTAGAGACCATTATCGAAAATGTACTTTTCCCAATGAAATAAATAATTAAGATTTTTCGGATTAAATGATAGTGTAATTTGATTCGTTTTGTAGGATAGTTCAACAGATAATTTATGTTTGCTAGTTAAAATGCTCCATCACCGGTAACAATTAATCATAGACTTCGCTACACTTGGTGTTTATTGCTTTAGTTGAAGGTTTAATTGTCCATCTTAAACATGGACTATTTGGAATAAATTATTCTGAATAATGCGTTATCATCCGATTCATGTTGCAGGTTAAATCCATCTCATACGTATGCTAAGGACAAAATTATGGGATGTATTCGAAACTAATATTACATTGGAAAGTTTCCAATGGAAACGATATAAAAGAATCAAATAGGTATCTGTATTACATTAATAGTCTCAAATGAGACTAACATAGTTTATTCTTATCTATTCTGACAAATATTCCCTCAGCGTAATGCTCTTTCTGAATACTATCTCAGTTACTTCTTGTATGTTTATATTTTGGATTTTGGAATGTATTTTTTCTCGGAGATTCAGTACAACAATAGACGATTCGGCATCTACAATGAGATATTCTGTTTATCTATCCGAGCAAAATCTTTTTTGAATCAGTCCCAGAATCTGTATTTCCATTTGCAGCAATTTACATTTCAATCATGATTTGAATCAACTCCGTCCCGAAGAATTTCAATTCGAAATTATCTCATTCAGGTTGGGACAGTTTAACAGAGTACTACTTTAAATAAGTTATGGAATTAGTTTGTCATTTGAAGACTATTGAAACGGAAAATTCAATCAATACACGTGAAGAGTTGATTGCAAAGCATCAATGTCGGTTCCCAGACGAGTGCTGACCAAGCGATGCATTTTCGACATAGAGTTTTGCCTCATGGTTAACCTACGTTCGAGTGTGATTCTGCAATTGTACAATACACGGAGCGCCAATTGAATGTAGCATTGGAAAGTGTCCCCAAAAAAACAGATAAGAATCAACCAGACCGAATGCGTCAAAGAGCATGAAATCATCATCACTTTGTTTAACCATGTTTACCGTTCGAAATGGAAATCAACTTATTTGGGTATTAGCCGAATACTATTCGGTTTGAAAAAACCGAAGAAACATAGAAATCGAACAAAGACATGAGGATAAATAGCTTTACGCCATCTCTCTCTACTACCATGTCATTCTCCCGCCTTGATTTTGTTTCTGATTATTTTCGATACATCGATTCTCTGTTTGGCCGGAATTATTTACATTTGGCTATTGAGAAGATTTCAAAACATAAAATACGAATGACGTTTATTTAAAAACATAAACAAAATCAATAAACATGCAACTGTTTCAAGTATAAACACTCTCATTCCAAGTCATTTGTTATTCATTTCGTTCTAAATACAAAACAATCGATGGCTCTGGTGTCGCTGTTTTACATTTTCAACACTTTATGCTCTTTTCGGATGGCCAACGACGCAACATTTATTTGTTTACAAACACAACGGTGTCGCCGGAACAGTATCACAAGCTAGCAACAGTGGCGTTATTGCATGTATTGTGTGCGAATGTTTGTGTTCGTTCAGTGAGCGTCGTTTGATTATATCTTCTGTCAAATGTAGCAACGAACGCGCGCAGTTGAACGTGAAAATGGATTTTGTGGAACAACGACAAGGACAACTTCTCTTTCACACCAATTTCATCGCTGCGACAGAGCCATTAGCGTCGGCTGACACACACACACACATTTCTAAGTCCAATACAATCTTCAATTTTCACAGTGCAACCGAATTAAGGCTCGAGAGTTATTTGTTGGCCAAAAGTAAATTTTCAGAAGAAAAACTGCGTTTCCAAAGAGATTCAATGGTGAAAATGTCGGGCAAGGAGAAAAAGCAACGAAAAAAGAAAATAAAATGCTTTGCGGATTTCGTTGACCAAGTGCCGAAAGTGATAACGAATTCCAAGTACGGCACCTCATACGAACAACTGCATTTCATTGGCTCGGTAAGTACGACTTCCATGTTGATTTTCACGTTTTGTTGTTGCTTTCTGTGTATTAAGAAAGAACACCATCGAATGACTAAATGTGTGTTTGAACTGAGTGAATTTCGTAATAAATGAAATATTTAATTTTAAATTCAGGGATCGTATGGTAAATGCTTCGAAGTGGTGAAAATGTCAACGAAGGAGAGATTTGCGTGCAAAATCCTCAGCAAAGTAATTATTCAGGACGCTGAATTTACCAGTTTGGTGCAAAACGAGATTAGCATTCACCGCAAACTACGTCATCCACATGTCGTTGAGTTTGTGAAATCGTTCGAAGACGACAAATTGATCTACATGATTCAAGCGTTGTGTTCAAATCACTCACTCCGTGATTTGCACAAGTCTCGTGGCGTTGTGTCGGTTGGCGAGTGCCGCTATTTCATCAGTCAAATATTGAAAGGTGCACAGTACATTCACGAGAACAAGTACATTCATCGTGATCTAAAGCTGACAAACATTCTCATCGACAAAAACATGCAAATGAAGATCTGCGATTTTGGTTTGGCGATTCATATGAACGATCCACGGCTCGATAATAGAACCATTTGCGGAACAACCAATTATCTAGCGCCAGAAGTTGTCGGTCGAAAGGGATTTGCTTGCGTGTCGGACGTGTGGGCGATTGGTGTAATCACATTCGTGCTGCTATTTGGTTATAAACCGTTTGAAGAGTGCGATGCATACGCCACTCATCAACGCATTCTGCGTGCTGATTACGCGTAAGAAAGCTTTGATTATCAAATTTTGTTCTTTTTTTCTATTCTAAATATGAGGCATTTCAGAGTACCATCCGACAGCAATCCGGAGCTGAAGATATTTTTGAGATCTGTATTCCAAAAGGAAGTTGAATGTCGATCAAGTGCAGAGGAATGTTTGAAAATGGCATTTTTCAAAAAGCACGACATTCCACAAGCCTTGCCTTTTGAAGCATTCTCACGAGTTTCGTATACGGAAAGCATCAAGCTACCATCGTGCACTCAAATAAAGGGTAAATGATTTGTTGAAAGCAAAATCCTCTTTAGCTTTGATTAACATTTGAAATAAATTTCTATTTTTGCGTGTAGCAATTGATTTCTCGAATTATTCAGTGGTCAATAAGACCGTAAACATCGAATATCCAGTGATTCATGCTAAGGAAGGACCCATTTTGAAAAAGTCATACGAGCATGCAAAATATGCATATGAATTGGACAAAGTGTTCGATCGACTCGACTCCGTGTGTCGCTATCTTCAAGTTAGTTTAAAATTCATTCTCTGCACCTCTTCACAAACTCATTTCACATTCACTTGTGCTTGTTTTGCCTTTTAATTCTTAGATTGACCCTGAACACAGCTTCAACGACCTCAGCGAGTTAGATGATTTTAAGCCGGAGTTTTGGATTGCAAAATGGTCATTTGACCGAGCACGAGACAGTGGATTTGCTTATCAAATGTCTGATGGTTCGACGGGAATACTATTTCATGAAGGTCTCAGGCTTATGCGAACACCAGATGGAAGGTGAGTTATCGATAATAGTTTGCTATTAATTTTTAGTGAATTTTATTGTTGATTGAATGCAATTCGTTTATCGAAAATCTACCTTAGCTGTTGGGCATTGGAATCGGGAAATGAACGTTTTTGGCGAATCCGTGGCGAATTTTCGCGATTGCATCGAAAGCTATCACAATTCAACGAGTTTGAAAATGCGATGGAAAAGAACGGTATCTTCGTGCCGGAAACGATATACAGCCAAAGAAGAACAACCTACCTCTACACATGGCTACAAACCGATTCAGCAGTGATTATGCTTTTGAGCAACAACACGATTCAAGTGAGTGTGTTTGGGGGTTTTCATTCGATTTCTTTGGAATTATTTGTTTGTTTGTTTGTTTTTTGCAAATTTGCAGATCAACTTCACGCACACCCACAAAAAGGTCATCGTTTCGATGGAGAAACTGAAAGTCACATTCGTCACCGGTCGATTGGCCAGTGAAAATTTTAAAACCGTGTCCATTGGTGCTTTGGCCGATCGAGGATTCTCTCTACTCAGTTTGTCGATGTTGAAAAGTGTGACGGCAGCAATTGTGTATTTGGCTGACCGACTCAGAGACGTATAACCTCGATTTTGTACTTTTCTTAACTCACAACGAGTATGACGGTTTTTTTTCTCAAATCAATTGACGTAATTATCGTATATCAGTATTATTGACATAAGTTTATTGTTCTTGAAGTGTGAACTGAATATTGAAGGAATTAGGATAAGTTGTTGAAACAAGATGAAGAATATTCTACTTTGAATTAATATTCCTGTAGCGAAATGGAATAGAGAAATACCCCGACTTTTGGTTGAAATGAATTTACCTCCATTGGGAAATATCAAAATGTTCGGAATCAGAAAATTGAATCATAGAAAATGGACGAAATAGTACTGAATTTGTATATTATTGAAATCGTTCAGTTGGAATATAGTTCATGAAAATTGTTGACAAATAATCTTAAGAAGATGAAATGATTTTGTAATAATTCTAAGGAAGAAATTACTGAAAAGTAGGTATATCAAAAGATTTGGTTTAGTAACAATTGTGTACCATTTGAAAAATTGAAAATTGAATCTGTTGCAAATAAAAAATCAATTCTATCGAAATGATACGTTTGTTTCTTTCTGGGAAAATTAAGATTGTAGAAACTTTGAATAATTTACATTTGACTAACCGAACATCAAGTTTATATTGGATGTTTCTATAGTCAAGAGTATGAGTATGAGTTTACCTTGAAATGAAAAAATTATATTATTATATATAATATATTGATTGGATATGGCATATGCGGATATTTGGTCAAATTCGATTCATGATGAAAATGAAACGATAAAAACCGGTAGAATATGCAAGGCCTGAACATTTGGTCTAGTTTGCAAGAGGTAGGCCCATGCATTGAAATTATCCACTGCGGTTTCAGTGATACACCATTAATTACTTAAATCAATAGATATTTCGTTCCATTTCTGTTTGTATGAAATGACTCGGTGAGGATAATAAAGACAACATATATTCAATCAGATTTCAACGGGAACATAACAATGTTTGAAAACTCCACAGTCCACACGCGATCAAATTACTTGCATACTATAACGTATATAGTTTATGATGATTTGTTACCATAATAGAAATGAAATTGAAGTTTGAAATTTGTTTGAAGAAATGTTCGTTGACACCTCTAGTCGTATGCAATTGATGTTGAGAAAAAGAAGAAGAAGAAACAGACATTCTATTCATTTACATTGCAATAATGGCAATCAGCAGAGATGGTGCTCATGTGCCGATCATACCACTGTTACAACCCTTCGTTCAATCTTAACTTTCACCCAATGCAAATGATTGATTGATATGTAGAGAAAATTGTTCAGGATTCTAAATAATTACTGATGCAATCTGTGCAAGAGCTACACAACTCACCTTAAAGTAGCTGAATGCTGCCAATAAATCAAAACACTGACAACCGATCACATCGAAAGACAACTTCAAACACAATTTTATAAGTAGCATACTAATTTGTATTGAATGAAAACAATTATACTAAATTGTATGAAACGAAAAATCTGTTCTTTTCATTCCAATTGAAATGAATTCAAATAAATAATAAAATGGTTCATTATTATGAATCTGATTTGATTGATTTGTTCTTAGCTGTCAACCGTGTGAGTGGAAAGTTGTACGATGTAAGCTTTTCCAGAATTCTAAAAATTCGTATTCTTATTGGAACAGAAAAGATAGTTCGATGTGGAAACTAAAATATCGAATCGAATGGTAACGTATGATTAGAATAGGTTTCAAGTTCCCTGGAACCTAGAACAAGTGCATGTTAGCTAAGATTTAATAAACTATTCTTGAAATTGAGCAAGATTCAAGTTTTTGTATGAATAATCTTAATAAGTTGCACTTTTTGGGTATCGACGTGCCCGTGGCTGTCCCGGAACATCGTTGACGAAATTGGATAACTGTTGTGGGGTGTATCCCGTCAATTGCTCCAAATCGCAGATGAATTTGTAGACAAATTGCTTGCCGCTCACTTTCGAGATCATGTCGCCGTCGCACAAGGCACGTGATAATTTCGCATAATTCATAGTTGGCTTATTTTTGCGAATGCGCCAAAGTGCTGCCACACGATCTGGTTCAACCAGCTTAAATTCACCCTGATTGCCATGCCACTGGATGATGTTGCGATGCTCTTTGTCAGTCAAAATCTCCAACAAAAAATGCCTAATGAAATTGAGAAATACTTTTAGTTCAATGCGCAGAGCGTTCATGGTTTTGTCAATTCTTACCCGACTTTTGCATTCCGCTTGAAAATGGCATTCTTTTCGCGTACATTTTCAATACTAGTGACCTCTTCGTCGTCTTCGTTGGTCGATTTTGGGTCACCCGGAATGGCAATGAACTGACATTTACGCAACAATTCTAAGTGTGTCCAAAATTTATTGCCCGGATCGCGTGGAATTTTCTTTTGAAAATCATGCAACGACAGTTCGCACAATTCCTTGCCCGTCATATGCCAATCATTCTCCTGCAAACGTAGGACAAATTGGTTGACAGCCCATTTCAACCAAATTTGCACATGATCCTCGGACCAATTTTTCGGATCGTCAGGAATATTTTGATGTTTTTTCACCACTAAAAACTTCTTGTACACTACCCAATTCACAAATTCCTGATTCACCTCCTCGTCTTCATCGTTCAACAATTGCACGACTGCATTTCTATTCGATACTGTGATTGCTGTATTCAAATTGAGAAAAGTGATGTGTTTGAGCGAGAAAAAAAACATCAAATTTACAAACGAAAACAAAAATCAATTACCATCCGATGAATCATTGCTGTTTGCACCATGTTCAATGTCATTCATAACAATGTCTGAGTCGAGACCGATGCCTGGCTCGTTTTTCATTGCGTCAGTTTTTGCTGCACGAAAAAAATCTGTGTTGGAATGACTCTGTTGAGCAAAGCAAAAATGGCGTCGCGAATAAAAGAAAATATTTAGTTTGACGTGTAGTCGATGCTCTGCGATGTGCTTTGTGCTGTGCTCTGATAAACAAAAAATCAACGAAAAGCACACACAGTCATATACCGCAATGATGTGTGTCAAAAGTCGAATTTCGAAATATGGTGTAGTGTTACCGCAGTTACTTCTGATTTTTTCGATGGATTCGTGTTTCACTTTAATTGAAGCAAAAATGTTCGATACACTTTCAAGTCCATTGGCATGATGATTCATTTTAATGGTGGTTTTGGTTGTGATTTGGTTTTGGAGTGCAAATTTGGTGATAAGGTACGCGAGTTTTGATGTGCCGCTAACACCAATGGATTGGGCACATGAAATACTGTATTGAAATCGAAAAAAAAAATCAATCTTGTTTTTTCGATTTTTGTCTGTGTTGCGACCGTCTACATGGGAAGTTTGTATGAAAACCTCGGAGCGCCGCTGCTATTGCATTGGCTTCTATGGCCAAATGTACACATGGAAATATCTCGAAAACGGCTGGGTAAATCGGCAAAATGGGCCGTGGTGTCACTCCCGAAAGGAGTGTAAACACCCGGCTGGTTTGACGGCCTAGAATACAAATCCGGTGGAATTTGGGCTGATCCATGGATTCTCAGGATTCGACCACTTCAATTTCTTTCATAACAAAACATAGGTAGAATGTGTTTACAGATGCACATAAAAAAGGAAGCACTGGAATCTGGCCAAATCCTGAGAATCCATGGATCAGCCGAAATTTCACCGGATTTGTATTCTAGGCCATCAAACCAGTCGGGTGTATACACTCCCTTTAGAGAGTGACATTACGGTCCATTTTGCCGATTTACCCAGATATTATATTCAATTGCATTGGCCTACATGAAAAACAATCGAGCGCCGAAAACTTATGCTGTTTCGCTCACACTTATGTGCAATTTTTACTCGTATTACAAACTGTTGTGTTACGAACAACAGAGTCGCTTGCTTCGATTCTTTTCAAAATTGACGTACAATAAATCTTGCACACACAAACAGGCATGTGCACGTCTACAAGCGCGTCGTACAAGTGATTATGAATTTTAAAATTACGCAGCAACGAAGACAGTGGACAGTAGGGTGTTTTCGGCATCGTTCAATCGAAAAATGGTAACTCTCATTCGATAGATCTCAGAATTCTGAGTCGATTGATAACATTTTTGTCGCGGATGGACTTGTGGTGACACTTCCCGAAACTAAAAACAAAAAATGTTTTATTCTGAATTTCTATAGTAAAAAGTGACAACCAGATTCAATTTTATGTTTTCTTGTCAAATTTTTGCTTTCAAATTTCAAATCAAATCTGTTTGTCACAGGTTACTATGGAAATTCAGAATAAAACTGTTTTTGTTTTCAGCTTCGGGAAGTGTCATCACAAGTCCATCCGCGACAACAATATTATCAATCGACTCAGAATTCTGAGATCTATCAAATGAGGCATACCATTTTTTGATTAAACGATGCCGAAAACACCCTAGTGGACAGTGGACAATACCATTGCTTCTTTTATTTTCCACTGTCTTCGTTGCTGCGAATGAAACAAAGTGGATGTGCGTTAGTTCGGTTTTGTGTAAACAATCAACGTACAGAATATATTAATAAAAAGCAGATTTAAGTGCAGACGCTTATTTTCAAGTGTGGTTGGCATTCACGGGAGGAAATATTAATGACAATGAAAAAATGTAATGGTATTTAATAAATGCAATTATTTATATATTATAGATATAATAATATCACACAAGTTTAATAAAGTAAATGTAACAAAAGTTTTAATTGTCTTTTATCAAAACATTTGCGATCGCTAATTGAAATGGGTCATCAATCTCAAGTGCATGTTTTCCATCGATTTCAACAAATTTGCATCTATGAAATAAAACAAATAAAACGTTTTGAAAATATAGGAATATTCGATCGCAGAATCGATGCTATTGTTAATACCCATCATTCTGAAGAAGTCCTTGATTCTCAACTAAATTCCTTCGCATGAAATAGAACATTCCAGTTTCAATCAATTCTCCAGCCCAATCTTGGCGTCGTGGTCGCTTTTTTGGATCGAAATTAATCGCTTTCAATCTATTCGAATTGGCCACTTGTTGCCATCGCAATTTCCAACTTCTGTTTGATTTAATAAAAAAAACACATTTCTTTCTGAGTAAAAAACAATCAATTTTAAACTCACCTCTGAACGGAAAAAGCGCAGTCGATATCGGGCTGCCGGTTGAATATGTTCGCCGCCCTTTCCAAATAATATTCGTATATAAAAACTGATGTGCACTGAATCAATGCAATGTTGTGAACGTGCGAATGACCACCCAAAAATTCTTGTATCGATTCGATTGAAGTGGCTTCATCACGAGCCGAGTGCTCGCTGCGATAGTGTACATTTGCATTGTAACGACGTGCTTCCTTTGCAATCATCTCATTGTCCGTTGACACCCACACCTCTTGAAAGCAATTACGACAGTTATGAATGACGCGTAGCGCACGTCCCAGCAATGATACACCAGCTATTTTTGCTATGTTTTTGTATGGAATACCTTTCGAACCACCTCTGGCTAAAATCAATGCTACAATACCTTCGCTACTATTTTTGGATTTCCAATTTCCCAAGCACCTGTTGAATGAGCAGAAAAATAAATCGGTTGAAATCAAAATTGGCCAACAAACTTACTCGTTTGCAAGTTCCTGTTCCGTTAAAAATGTATTGACCACTGTTATTGATAATAGTACAACGCTGAAGTGAACGCATAATTTTTTATTCATAACACAGTTCATTTTGCCGTGTCTTTGCCATACTGACAACATACTGATTTCCTAAAGGTATTGAATGTCCACTCGAACATGGACAAAGTTGTCGTGTGTCGCACTAAATAAAATGTTGAAATAATAATAAAATTCAAGTCTATTGTCACTTAGATTTAAGTCAATTACAGTCTCATACTCCAAAAGCAAACCTTCAATTTATTTCGTTTATCACGAGACTAAGTGACTGAATAGAGGCAATTGAAGCGAAATATTAAATTTCGCCGTTGAACGTTAACCGTCTATGTTGTTCTTTCTTTTGGAATGGAATACGAAGGAAATCTATCTACTAACAATATTTTATTGCTTTTTTCGTTCAACTATTGCGATCAATAAATGTATGGAATTAACGCTATTGTTTTGGAGTTTCACTTTGGAAATAAAATTCTTTTTGGAAAATATGTGCGAATAAATTTAAGTTTCAGTTCAGATATTTCAATTTAGAAATCATCGTTTCAAAAAAAACTCTTTTCAATTTAAATGTGATTTCGAAATATGCTATTTTTACCAACTTCATTGGATTGGTAAGCAACATCGACTGGTGTATTTTATAATTTGGAACGCAAGATTTGACAGTTTGGAGCATGCGCATTGGGCTGTAAGAGTAAACAACTAACTACCGTATGTTCGATACTCACCGTTTTGAACCATCTGAAGAGCTTTATCAAAGCTACAGGTTATCTGATGGTAAGAGAAGAGTTCTTTTTGCATTCCATTATATACAACTATCCAAAGGACGAGCAACATTTTAACGCCTATAATAAAAATCGAAATCGAACAAAGCGTGTTCACTTCATCTGTTGGACTCTCAGATGTGTTCTCTCCTTGCTCCATAGATCGATTGAGCCAATCAAAATGGCATTCCATTTCGACTAATTGGGTATGTTCAATTAAAGAGATAGTTGGCTCGATAAAAGCATTTCCATGTGTGATATTGCCACTGGTGCTGTTGCTCATTTTGTTCGTTCGTATGGGCTCATGTTACCGGTGTGGTATCAAATAACATACAATCAATGAAAGGGATAATCCCATGAAAATAACTAATTTAATCGAATAAATTTCATTCATTCGCATGAAATGAGGTTTGAACGAGCAAAGGTATGCTATTGCCAATCTCCATCACTTTTGAATTGTGTTAATTAAAATATGTAGTTCGGTTTGGCAGCAACCGCCCGCATATGTTATGCGAGTGTGAAAGGAATACCACGAATAAATGAACAACAACATTGTGATTAGTGGATCTTGCGTCGACTGTGATGAACTGCAAAATTGAACGCTTTATTGATGTTCCATGTGGGCATCGTATTAAATTACGAATGCCGATATATTTGTGCAACATTTAATATGTTCTCATTAATTCAGTCAGCAAGTCAACAGAAACCTACGACTCTTGACGCAACCAAGAGCGAAAATAGCATTTTTCTTGAGAAAAACCATGCAACAAAGAGACAACAGCATCAGATTGAAATAATTCCGAGGAAATGTTTTCGACAGAACGCAGTACGAACCAGCTAGTTTATAGCAAATATGTACGATGCTCGAGGCAAAGAACACAGTGTTTCATCAGGCATTCACGTTGCTACTGCGCCAGTTTTCGATTAAAAGCTAAGTTATATACGACAAACTACTGAATCGATTGGGGTTTGTTTAATTTTTATTTGTGCATTCTACTCTGACGACGATGTTATTCTTCTACGATGCAATGCATTTTTCCCGCATTGTACGTTCTTTTTTCTTACTTTAGCCCATAAATTTCATTTAGCCGCTACTCTGCAGCAAATACTTTCCAGTACAACAATGCACACTTCAGTGGAAAAGAAAACAGAGCTTCGAACGGGAAACACAAAAAATGGGACTTGCGAGTGCTGGAAGCGGAACAGCAAATTTATACGATAAAAAAAACCGGAAAATTATCTCAATAATCCAGACGTTATTTTTTCGTCATTTTCTTCATTTTTGTACAGTTTTCTCCGTCATTGCCGATGACGATGTTTCTGATCGATACTTGCGTTCACGTTCAGTGAAATAGGGATAAAAATAATAATGGTTTACGCTTTATGCGGAGTGCCGCAAGCAGAATTTTCAATTTGACTTTTCAATTTAAAATTCTTCAATCGCTTTTTGAAGAGTTTCATCACCGAGAAAAGCTATTTTAGGGTTGAAATGTTTATAGATTTTTTGTTGATCAACAATATTACGCATTTAAAGACTATAAACACTTTCTCGTCAGTTTTTTGGTCTAGCGCGTCTTTCTTATGACGAAAGAACTATTGTAATAAATAATTAATTTTATTGAAATTAACATTTAACATCATGATGCAAGTGTATATTGCTTTGGAAAACTGAAATTGAAAAATATGGAAACCTTCTTTTCATTTTGTTTGACAAAAAATATTGGAAAATCATCTCACTGTGTTGAATGTCTGTAAATTCAGTGTGATAATTCCAAATCCTTGATAATAAACTGGTCAGCGAGCATCGCCAATCATTAGAACGTTGCATCGTTGCAGGCTAACTGGCATCTCATACCAATTCGTTTCGAACAAACAGTCGGCCATATTCTCGAAGCCTTAATAAAACGATTTTCATCGTCAAACTATACAAAAAACCACGTCAACACTTTCTGGGGCGTTGCCAGTGGTCGCATTTTCTTTATGATATTTTTTTTAGGCTGATTCAATGCGTTTGATTAAATTGATGTTTAGTGACCAACGAATTTATTTAAGAAATCTTTCTCGGAGTTGATTTTTTTATGATTCTGAAAATGTTTGTAGTATATAAAGTCTCTACTGTTTTTTAATCTCCTATATCCACTATCGCCTATATTTTTTTTATTTTGAATAACTCACAAATACACTTGAAATACAAACTGATCCGAAATTCGGTTTGTACCGGCTTCTATAGTGCCATCGATGATAGGATTTTAATGATAATGCCCAAACCACGTCAATAAAATGGCTTTCGGCAATTTAAATTGAACTGTTAACAATAATGACAAATTGATCGAAATCCAATCGAAAACTAATCGCTTCGATGCGAGAAAGGTGTTTTGTCCAAATTCTGTAAATTGTCCAAAACCTCGTCAGTACTTATTAAACAATCACTTTTTAAATGCATTCCCATTCTATTTTGATATCTAACAATCGTCGATGCAAATAAAAGCTTTTATTTTGAATTCTTAGTTTGGAGTCCTGTGGCGCGTCTAACCTAATCACAATCATCAAAGCAAAATGACCGAATTTTCATTTGAAGTAAATGTTCTAAATCTAACGGGTTTTGGTGACGAAAATTACAAAATGATCGAATTCTAATCGAAAATAAATTGGCCTACTCAAAAAGAGATTTCTTCAAGGACTCCATCAGTCTCATATGATTCAGGACAGTAATGCGTTTTTGAATGCTTATTTTGGACTTGTAGACGTACATATCCAGGACACATGTGTTTCATATGACGTGACTTCGAAAAATGTCACTAAACAAAAATAAAATAACTCGCTTTATAAGCTCTTACGTGATGCAAAATTCACATTGATGTTGTTCAACTTTGTGTAAAGCTGTAGAAATCGGATCCTTTGGTCATCTGATCTAAAAGGAAATTAAATGAAATTAAACCTGGCTGCAGCTTCTTGTCCTTATTCATGGATACAAATAATAAGTTGACTGGAATATCACACACAGTATAATTCAAAACGCAAACTAACCTGTCGCTTACATCCGCACATCGAAATTCAATTCGAACGAGGTAAACGTGGCGTGTACCAGTCGAAAGTATAAACCTGATAAAAATCTATTTACCAAAGTGCTAATGCAATCTAATGAGAAAGCTTTGACATCAATTTATTAGCCTTGCACCTTACAGTGTCTTGCTTCAGCTGATGGAAAAGCGAATCACATTCGTAAGTGCTTTTTCCCCACCTTTTACATTCACATTGTTGATTTCATACATTATTCAAGCGGCCGTCAAACGGAGGAGTGTAGTGCAGTGCGCGACTGAAAGTCGATGCGGAAATGAGCGGAAATAACTGTGTTAAGCAGCTGAATGCCACCGTACACACTCACCGGAAATGAAGTCAATAGTTGCACGTAGAATACAATAAATTATGGAACTGGAAATGCAACAAAAAATTGTGTCGGAAACCAAGTTGTATGATATGGAAATGCGCAAGGAAATTACGATTCAACAGAGAAAAAAGACACAAAATGTTGATTATATTGCTTGCAACAAGCACATAGTTATGGAGCGCTCTATGCTGAATGAATCTTCGTTGAACGAATGTTCAGTGCACAATCTAAAGTTTGTATGTTGCACCTGAGGCGAGCAATATTGGATTAGTTGTTCATAAATCATATCGACCATTCCACATGAAATCAGCCAAAATTCACAAGGGTTTTCAGAATCAGCTGAAACTTTGCATGGACTTTGGGTTTGGACAAAAACTCAGAAAGCCAAAATTTTTCCCCAGGGTCTGCCTCTGGAGACCCTGTACGGATGGCCGAAAAATCGAAATTTCGAAAATTTCCAAATTTTCAGACCATTGATAAAAAACCTCAACGCGGTCATAAGTGAATGAAATTTTTACACAAGTTAGGGTTTGAAGAGCCCTTTCGATCCCACGTTTAGGGTACCTCCCCAGATACCACCTGACCCGATTTTTCGGCTTCCAAACATTCAGGATAGGAATAGAAAATTTACCCCCCCTCGAGGGGTCGATTTTTATTTTTTTTTCCATTTGCCACCAAAAATGGTCGATTTTAAGCAAAAAATTTTTTTGGGACAAACCTGGAATTTTTCCAAATTTTTCGATTTTCTGACTGCTATGCACCACAAAATGGTCAAAAAAGGTCGAAAATGGCCTCTAACGATGTTTTGATCTGAGAAAACTGCCATTTTTCGCCAAAATACATTAATATATGACCCTTTGAACATCGCTTTACCTATAAATTTGATCTGAAATCGACATTTCTCCATAGAACAAGCGAATGGTCGCAATCTGCAAACAAAATCACATTTATAGCATAGAAAACACACCTATGATGGCCTGTTATGAGTCTATTTCCACCTAATTTTCGACGGAGAATCGATTTAGAGCTATCACAATCCTGTCTGATGGATCTAAAAGGTCGAAAAATGACCCTGTTCCAGCTTATGTTTTCAACTCGCAATACTTCATGCAGAAAATCACATTTTTCACTTCAAAAATGATTTATTCTGGGTTCCATCGTATATAGGCTTTTATTTTTTAGCGGAAG